AAAAAACTGAAGGAACAAAACAGCAGCAGACTCACAGAACCCAAGAATGGACCAACAGTTACCAAAGGGAAAGGGACTGGGGAGGGTGGGTGGGAAGGGAGAGATAAGGGGATTAAGGGGCATTATGATTAGCACACATAATGTAGCAGGGGGCCAGGGGGAAGGCAGTATAACACAGAGAAGTAGTGACTCTATGGCATCCTACCAATCTGATGGACAGTGACTATAATGGAGTATTTGATGGGGATTTGATAAAGGGGGGAATCTAGTAACCACAATGTTGCTCATGTGAATGTATATTAATGATACCAAAAAAAAAAAAGGAATGTAAGCAAATGCTCTAAAAATATTTTTTTTTTACTGTGTTAAAGATCTCCTTGAGGTCCACATCCCCTTTAAAACTAGTGTTAGCTACTATAATGGAACGCACTGAACTCCTGGTAAATCACTAATAAGCTTTTCTCACCAGTGGAGGAATAGTCTTATAACAAATTAAATACCTTCAATGAATATCAAGCAGTTCCAACTTCTACCAGCATTCGCTATACTTACTAGGAATTGGTGAAGGAAGCAAATCATTCTTCTTATAGGAATCGTTCTGAAAGAAGAAAGATCACTGGGAAGTGATTGGTTTGGGTTCCAAACACATAGTTTCTTCATAGTAAGCCTTCAGTAAATATTTCTTAAAATTAACTTTATCACAGTCAAGATTCCTTCTTGTTTGATGCGAAGTTTTTATGCTTTCTGGAAATTAGCCTTCAGAGTGACTCTGGTTTGCTTCCTTGTCACCTATGTCACACAAGAATTGGGAAATCTTTTGACTTTGAGCCTGGAGATGGTCCTTGTGAAAGATGATTCAGTTTAATAAAATTAGAGGCCTCTTTCGCCAACAAATTAATGGTAAGAAAAAAAAAAGGGGAGGCAGGAAGTGTTAGAGAGGAACAGACTAGGAGACATAACGACCACATACAGTGTGTGTATCTTTTTGGATCTTGATTTTAGCAAAGCAACTATAAAACTTCATTTTTGAGAGAGAGAATTTTAATATGAATTGAGTATTATAGGATATTAAGGAATTATTTTTCATCATATTGGCCTCACAATAACTTTTTTATATTATAAAAACAAAGTGTTTTTTATATTATAAAAACAAAGGGTTTGTGTTAGAGACATATACTGAAGTGTTTACAGGTGAAATAACATAATGTTTGAAATTTGCTTTAAATTCTTTCTCTTTCCAAAAAAAAGTGTTAGGAAGAGATAGATGAAACAAAAGCAGTAGAAAGCTGATAACTGTGGAAAACAGTGACAGGTACATGGAAGTTCATTGTTTTATTCTCTCTAATTTTGTATGTTTAAGGCTTCTGTAATAGTTTTCTTTGCTTTATTTTCAAGTCAGTAGACTTGCATTCCAAGAGTAGAAGCTGAGCAATACACAACATATACTTCACATAATTTCAACAAGGAAAATCAGAGTTAAATTATGTCTGAAATACAAAATCTTAAAAAAAGAGCTTCATGGGGTCAGAAATGCCCAGCAAGGTGAAAAGAACAAAACAATTTCTCTTCATACTGAAGGAACAATATGAAAAGTAATGTAAATAAAATTAATGATTATGGTTCTTTATTTTTACTTATTTGACTTCTCTAGATATATGTATACAAAGTTATGAGATTTTGTACTATTTCCAACATGAGACTAAATTGTTTTTATTACATAGAAATTGAATACATATGACCTGAAGCATGAGTCTAAATCACTGCACATTAAAGACTTACAAATTTGTCCAGCTCATAAAAATGTTATTTTTCATTTATATTGTGGTATTGTCAAGAAGTTGATGAAAGATGTAGCCCTACATAATTGTGAATATGACCCCCAGCCTTAGAAAACTTCACAAAGATCATTTTAGTTCAAAAGGCCCATTTAGAAATAAATCCCAGCACTACTTGTAGTCCCAACCCAGATTCCATCTCCCTAGCCATACTAACCTGACTTTCAGGAGGAAGGGATGAGAAACAAGGGGCTGGGGATGGCACAGGTAAGGGCCCTGGTGCAGGTACAGGCCATGCCTCAGGCGGTTCACCAGGTCCTACTACAGTTCCACTTCTTCTGCCAAGGGTACCTTTCTTGACATCCTCAGCAAGTCCAACACCGACCAGGTCTGATCGGGCTTCATCCTGAGGCAAGAGGGTAAGAATCACATCAGGTTCTCAGTTCATTATACATTTGTTTATTGTACATCTGCTACATGCCATGCACTCTTGGAAGCAGCAGAGAAGAAATGTTGAGCAAAGAAACATGGTTCCTGCCCTCATGAAGCTTGGAGTCCAGCGTAAATCAGTAACAGGTAAAGCAAACTTCAGGATTTCTGGCCCACACACTCTGTGTCTCTCTTTCAATGACTATGTTTTGAGTGCCTGCGAGGTGATACTGAGGTAGACCAATGATTAAAAGCTACATGTAAATATGCCGAGATATTTCTACAAGAAAGCTTGCCAGATTTTAGCAGTGATAAGCTCTGGATTTATTCATTCATTTGGCAAAATCTATTGACCATTTCATTTAAGCCAGGCAAAGTGCAGGGAATGCCACAGTGAACAAAACAAACAAAAATTCCTCTCCTCATGGAACTGATATTCCAGTGGGAGAGATAGATAATTAACAAGACTCCTAAGTGAACTATACAGAATGTTAGATACAGATAAGAGTGATAGAGAAAAAAAAAAGAGAAGAGGAAAGAGGTTACATTTTAGAGAAGGTAGCTGTGAAAGGCCTCACAGAAAAGAGAACATTTAAGTACAGGCCTGAAGGAAGGGGCCAGGCAGATAACTAGTGATCACAAAGTACTGGTAGTGCAAAGGTCCTGAGGTGGGAACCAGCATGTGTGTGTGAAGAAGTACTGTGAAGCCAGTATGGCTGAAGCAAAGTGAACAATGGGGAGAGTGGAAGGAATGAGGTTAGATAGAAAAGGTAGGAGTGTGTGTGTGTGTGGCCTTCTTAGTCATAGGAAGGTCATTGCTTACTATTCTGAGTGAAATAAAAAGCCACTGAAATTTTTTAAAAGATGAGGAGGGACATGATCTGACTGAGGGGCTAACTGGATCTCTGACTGCTAAATTGAATCTCAATTAATGGGGAAGAGGAGCAGAAGCAGGAAATCCAATTAAGAGGCTACTGCAATCATCCAGGCAAAATATTATTGCAGGTTAGATCAGGGTACTATCAGTGGAGATAGTGAGAAATGACAGAATTCTGAAAGTATTTATAAGATAGAATAACCAGAATTCGCTGATTAGTTGGGACCCTAATAACCATATTTACAAGGTAGAATAACCAGAGTTTGCTGAAGATTATAGGGGGGTAGGGGTTGAGAGAAAGGGAAGAGTCAAGGAAGACATCAAGATTTTTTCCCAAACATAAAATTGCCATTAGATGTAGAATGAACAGGTTCTTGGAAGGAGTGAGCGCACTTTTGGACATGGTGTGTTCGAGATGCCTCTGAAACATCCAGGTGAAGATATCAAGAAGGCAGATGGGGATATCAGCCTGGAGTCTGTATCAACCTGGAAACCTTAGCTAGTGACAGATGTGCGGAAGTCCTCACCGTAAAGACGGGATTGAAAACCATGATGTTGGATGAAATCACCTAGAAAGTAGGCAAGAAAGAGAAGACGTCCAGAGACGGAGCCCTTGGGCACGTCTCAAGTGGTATTTCATGTGGCTTTACTTCTTCACAGTCCCTTTCTGTAGTGTCTAAATTTTTAATGTGTCATTTCTCAACAAAGTAGGCAAGAAAGTGTCCCTCCTCCTCCTCCTCCTCCTCTGTGATGATGGAGAAGAAAAGGAAGAAGAAGAAAAGAAAGAAGAAAGGAGGAGGAGGAGGAGGAGGAGGAGGAGGAGAAGCGGGAGGAGGAGGGGGAGGGGAGGGGAGGGGGAGGGGAGGGGGGAGGAAGAGGAGGAGGGGAGGGGGGAGGAAGAGGAGGAGGGGAGGGGGAGAGGGGGGAGGAGGAGGAAGGGGGAGTAGGAGGAGGAGGGGGAGGGGAACTTGAATACCTTTGCTGTGTACCGGGCATTGCATTTAAGTTCCTTATATGTATTAGCCAATTCAGTCATCTCAACAAACTTATAAGATTTGTTAATAACTATTAACATGTCCCTTCTTACAGTCCAAAGAACTTGAGTCTTAGAGAGGGTAAGTCACTTGCCTGAGGTCCCATGTTTCATAAATGGTGGAGCTAGGATCTGAATATGGGTCATTTCACCACTGAACCATATGCTTAGCCAAGGCTAAACGATAGTGTCTGTGCCTTATCCTGTAGCCTTTATTCCAAGAGCTCTTTATTAAAATGCAAAATGTCTCCAGGATAAATTGAGATCTTAAGAACTAAAAATGTTTATGCACTTCTGGGTATAATACTTTAAGTACCTTCTCTTTTGTTTTCTACTTTATTGTTAACAACTTAAGAGGGTCATTGGCAGCAGAAGTCAAGCTCTGCCAGGAAAAGTATGGGGACAGAGAAAAGGTACAAAATTCACCTGATTTACAATCCTGACAGAGCCACTTTGGAAGCCACATTCATAAGTAGAAAAAATATTCTGGTGCCCAGTAAAAAAATCTCAGCTTTAAGACAATTCTTCCTTCTTGAAAGTACTCACCATCAAGGTTGTCTTGGACTTATATGGCACACTGTAGTTCTTAGCTATTTCTATCAGGTACTGTTCCACTAAAACCTGGGATAGAGTGCTCACATTTAATTTACACATTAGCTGCAAAATCAAGAACACAACAGATTTGGTCACACACGTATCTACAAAATAGGAAATAAAAAGAGTTTAGGTGGTCTTTCATCTTTGAATCGTGTCTGTCACCTTTCTAGTCTCTGTTAAGTAAGATGTATAATTTTAAAAAGACATACAACTTGATATCAAAAAGGTGGGGACCCTGCTTGTATCATAAGATAGCCCTATCCTGGGGTGAAGGAACCTCAAACCACATAGAATAAGAGGTAAGAAATAAACATAAGAAAAATATTTTAAATTCTGATTTTATTATGAGAATCTGAATTAGGTCAGAGGCGATATTCAATATATTCAACAACCAGTATAGCAAGGCCCTATCCAATCAGAATGGACATCCTGAATGAAGAGAGCGTCTCTCAGCCTGAAACAGCTACTGTGGCCAGAGTTCGGTGTCCCACTGAATGTCAGTCCTGAATGGTGTATGTGTGGTCATGATGCAAGATGTTCGAAAGTTGAGACTTCTATGTTTCATTAACTTCTTTTGCATTACCAGGTCAGTTATATTTGGGAAAATATATGCTTTCTTAATAAAGAAATCAGCTCAGTTTTCTTGATCATAGCTTTTTTGATAAAGATCTGAGTTATCTACTCCAAGATTTTAATCCATGTTGCTCTGACTCCAATGCCAAATTTATTTCTTAACCTCTTCCAGTCTGTACAAAATTATATGTTCTGAGTTGGCTCCTGTTTGTGTTTCCTGAACTTCTTGGTTTAGAAAAATGTGTGTCCCTGGAAATGGTACTACCTGAGAGCTGACAGTTCCAATCTCATTGGTTCGGCACAGTTGACCATATTCTTGACTGTACTTTGCACACAGCTGATTAGAGACCTGCAAGCAAACCATCACCAAGAAAGAAATAAGGGCAAAATTCATCAAGTTATGTCAAATTTGCTTTAGAAATACTGAAAGAGCAAAAATCATTTTCATGCTCTCTTGTTGGAATTATATGCTTGCAGCATCAAAACAACAAAACAAATGATTTGCTCTGTTTTTAATCATCTGCCAAATGTGAAACTTAAAGCCTCTCATTCTAAACACTTTATAAATTATGATACCCCTCCCCAAGTTTTGTTTGATTTTTTTTTTAGGTAAGGTTTATTTTTTTTCAACCTTGCCATTAAAAATCATATTTATTTTTCACTCAAAGACTCACTAAATGTTGTTTTGGTTATCCCTTAAGAAAGGATTTCCCCAAGGAATACTACAATTCCAAACAAGTAGCATTAGTGATTCCCTCACCTATGGTTGTGACGCAGGCAGTTAAAACTGGTCAAACTTACTATTTTCAACTCAGGCACCTCTGACTGGAGGCGAGGAGCTGCCCAGATCAATGTAGATACAGATTCAGCCAGACAGGAATCCAATTTTCTAAAGAAAGCACAAAATTATGAAACTCAGAGCTTTATGTTTCCCTCTGTCCCTACTTCAAAGATAGCCCATGGACAATCTTCAAAACATAATGTTAAATGTTTTTAAAAACAGAAACTAAAATGCAAACCTATATGTACATATATGCATATACAAGTACATATATAAACATACATGTATTTATATACACACATACAAATAGAGAGAGAGAGAGAGAGAGAGAGAGAGAGACTGAAAGGAAAATATCAAAATTTCTATCTCCAGATTTGGTAATTATGGATTGTTTTTTGTCTGTATTTTCCAACTTTTCTACAAGTTTATACTGTCTGTATAGCTCAGGGGGAAAAAAGATAACTATTTGGTTTTTCAAAATGGCTATTTGGGCTTACATCATCTCCGTAAGCAGAGCTAGTTCTCCGTGTAAAAATGAGAGGCAAAGTTCTTTGACACAGTCCCAACATGTTAGAGCCCATTCTCTCCCTCACTAAGTGCCAAGGGTGCCCTGTCACTCCTTTGAGCCTGTGAAATGATGCAAGTTCAATAGGTCTCACTTTGTGGCCTGGATCAAGCTAAACCGGGCCAGCAGCAGGTCACAGTACAGCTCCAGGATCTCCATGGCCTCCACGAGGTAGTCTTCTCGGATAATATGCTCCGCTCGGATCCGAGCCCGTTCATCTTTCCCAGCAGCCAAATGGTCAGCAACCTCCTTTCTTGCTTTCTGCACCTGCTCAGCTGCAACACAATGTACACATATAGAAAAATGAATGTGCAAAGAGGAGTTTGTTGAATAAAAAGGCAGGTTATGCAACAATGGGAAACAATGTTTTTTAAAAACAAAAATATCTATATACACTTAAGCTACACCATATATGCATAGATAAGGTTATCAGTGTTTCGCACTGTGTGTGTGGTTCCAAGAGCTTTATCCCCAGATCAGTAATGCCAGTGTAACCTGGGCACCTGTTAGAAATGCAGATTCTTGGGACCCACCCCAGAAATACTAAATCTGAAACCCTGGAAGTGGAGTCCAACAATTTGTGTTTGAATCAGCCTTCCAATTCTGACACCTGTTGAAGGTTAAGAACTGCTCTAGGGGGGTACTTTGATACATAATATCCATACTTGACCCCCTAGATGTAGGTAATTTTTATTTTACCCTTTCAGCTTAGCTGAAATGTAGGATATTTTCTACAATGTCCCATAGTGAACATTTATTATTTTTGTAATAAAAAGGTTAGTGATTTAAAAAAGGACAATGCTTTGAATAAAAAAAAATGTTTTCATATATACAATTCCATTTGGTCCCTGAAACACTTGTATAAGGTTTGTATCATTATTTGCACTTCGAAACTGAGAAAACTGAAATTCTATGAGGTTAAATGGCTTACCCATGGTCACATGATTTGGTCGAATTAGAACTCAAACTCAAATTTTCAGACTGCAAGTACCTAAGCTTTTTCACCGTATTATGCCATAAAATGAACAAGTAGAGTCTTGCTGGGGAGGTAGCAAATATAACCAAGGCCCAGGCCAATCCACTGCAATAAGCAAAGTCCTACTATCTTGTGTTAACTGATGACTGAGCCCTGGGAAATAGGTTTTTCACAAGTCATCAAAACCTGAGCCTCCAAATATTGACTGTCTGTTCGCCATGCCCTAAAAGTGATGCTCACCAGCTAATCATGAATAGATTGAGTTCCCCTGTCACTGCAAGCCATCTTGACATGAGACTACATTTGAATCTGAAATAAACACAAAGCTCAGTGCTTGGAAGGTTGCTTAGCCAAGTCCAAAATAGGAAAATGTTCTTTGCCCTAGATATTGCAGGGAAAAGAAAGCACAGTAGAACTGGACTTGTTTCTGATAAAGGCTGAACTGCTGTTATACCAATACGAATGCTAGCAAACTTTTTTTGTGTGCCCAGGTTATAGTTTGTGGTACAAAGAGAACCCTGGAGTGGTGGAAGGTCAGAATTATTATCTCCCTTTAAAAGGGAATACATTTAGATAAAACAAGGCTCAATTGTTTACCTCAAATCACTTAAGCATTCCAAGTTTAAATTTCTTCATTTGTTAAAAAAAAATAAAGGATAAAATTTACCTGAATAGTAACATGTATGGGTTGATCAAATAAAAGAACATGTGAACATGCAGTTTAAAGTTCACAAATTACGTGTACACGATGAATGTCATCCTCTTCGTTTATGGTAACAAGAATGGGTACTGGTGGGTTTGCCTAAATTTCATTTGTTTGGGGTACTTTCCATAGATCCCTATTATCTAAATAATGCCCAAAGACCTTCAGCAAGACCTGGCTAAAATACGCCCAAAGATCAATTTGGAAGTTTGAGCAACAGCTGCCTCTCTACCAATACTAATTCAATAATAAATAGTGCTACTTAGAGCACTCAGAAAACTGTATTTACATGTAACAGTTATTTCACCTGAACCTTCCTTGTAATCAAGAGATAATCAGTTTTTCAGTTTATTGAAGGCTTCATGGCTCATGTGACCCATTGGAATGAAGCAAGAACAAAAGACAACAGAAAATTACAGTAGACTTAAAAGAAGGAAAACACCACTTGTCAGCTACCGCTCCCACTCATGGGTACAACACTATGAACTATGACCTGATAGATGGGATGCATTTTGGGGGTGTATTTGAAAAAAAGGTAAGGAGGCCCTCCAAGAATAATTTTCCAGGGAGTTTAAACTTAATAGCTACTGCACATTTGAAAATTCTTGACTGGATAAAATTCTGTGGTGGAGAGGAGTCCAGTAATCTGGACATTGTTTTACATTTTTAATCTTTGGAAACTTTTTAAAATTAGACTTTTGATTTTGAGATAACTGAAGATTCACATGCAGTTTGTAAGAAGTAATACAGGGAGATCCAGAGTACCCTTTACTCCATTCTCCCCAATGGTAACATCTTGCAAAACTACCATATTGACACTAATACAGTCAAGACCCAGAACAACCTTTGGAAACTTTTAAAAGATTTGATCACCATAATAATCATTCCCACATTCCCGCAAGTCAGAAACATTCCTTAAGTTCCAAAGTTGCTGAGTAAGGTCTTAGTGGATGTATCACCTGGAGGTGTGGGGGATTTAGCAGTGATCTGTGAGGCGGCTTGCAGTGCTGCCTGGACTTTTTACTCACTTTTCTTTTTTTCCAGGAGTTTTAGGCGATTGACAACCAGTTGCAAGTTGACCTGAAGGCGATCAGCTTTGAAGGCGGAGCTGAACATGATTTCACCACAAGGCACAGCAGCTCAAAAATCACCTTGCTGAGCGCGTTTCCCAGAAAAAGAGAGAGTTATCCATGTCATGGGCTCTAGTTTTTCCACATCCACTTTATTCATTCAATAAGCCCCGTGTAAGGAATGCCTGGCTGCTCAGTAATGACCTGGATGCACTTGCTTCTCTGTGGACCAGTTCACCAGATATGACTCTTGCAATTCAAATAAGGGTGAGGTTTCCCCCCGTTTATTCCAATTGTCAGTGTTTTTACTACAGCCTTTCAGAGTTATGCAGGAAGTTTCTGACAAAAATGAAAGTCTGTGGCAAGTGTCTGAGGAAGCAGACCACAGACGGAGATTCCCCTCCCCAAAGGACATATTAGTCACTTATGGAGAAAATAAAAGACCTCCTTCTAAATAAAATATTAATGAATTTGTAAGGGAAATCCCCATTGGAATCTGGAGAGGTCACATAACACTAGAAGCATGTGGGAATGAGGACACAGAATTATTCAGAAAAGTAGATAAAACAGAAGCTTGCAAATTACACATTTCTACATTTGGACATCTGGAAAAGCTTTTGAAAAATAATCTAATACTAGGTACCAACACATTTTGAGGGAAAGAAAAATCCATTAAGTACTTCTATAATTTCAATGTATGCTGGAGATTAGCTGTAATTTCTGCCAGTCATCCAAAAATACAGAAGATAAAGTTCCTTTCCTAAAATGACTCCTTCACGTACTGAAGCATACAAGCAGGAAGACATGACAGTATGAAAAAGCCACTCCTCTGTTATGACACACATAGTTTCCCAGTTACCAGCACTCTCCCTGCTTTGATCCCTACATGTCAAAAAAAGTAGGGATAGTTGTCTGAGTTTCCCCTGCTTGTCCTACAGGTCTAGAAAAATCACCAGCAAGGAACCGGCAACACAGAGAGCTGGTTTGAGAGCCTCTCCCACCTGCTTCAGGAGAAGAATAACCAGCATAGCAGGGTTTTTGTCCTTGCTATTCTCATTCCAAGAGTAGCTCTCAGTTCTCCCATCACACAAATTCAATCTACACACATCAAAGGAATTCAGTAGGAATCCAGGGAAAGGGAAGAGGTGGACAAAGAGATTGATGTTTAACTTTTCAGTCCTCAAATGTTCCAAATACTCTTAAAAACCTCCTTTCACTTCATCAATTCTTAAAACTTTGTGGAAACTATAAACAAAACACCTCAGTGAAAGAGAACAGAGGACTTTCGGTCGAGAGAGACTGAAACAGGTAATAAATAGGCAAAATAGATTAAAAGTAGCAGTTTGGAAATGGTAGCAAAAGAAAAGTCCCTCAGTTTGGGATATCTGTAATTTCATTCAACTACTATTTAATGAAAGCCAGTTTCAATGAGAAAGGTCCTGGGTTTACTTGAGGTAACTAACTTAAAGAGGGAACTATCCAGATACCAGAGAATACAGATTTTTGGAAAAATTAGATAAATTTTGGTTATTTTAGTGTCTTAAATCTAAAAACTGTATTAGTTCATTTATCACTAATATTCCCATCAAAATGTCACTATGGAGCCTCCTACAATCAATACATACAACCAAAGAAATGAAAATTGCTTGGAGTAAAGAGTTCTAGAAAAGGATACAGCAGAGATAAGACCCACCTGTTCGGGACTGCAGCACTAGACCAGGAAACCACCTGTGTTTCACCAATCAAAACATTGTTTTTTTAAAATCAGACACGCCTTCACACCACATGATCATGTTACTAGCAGGTAACCAAAGCAGTTCCTTTGCTTTCATGTACCTGTGTCTGCTTTTTCAGCTTTATCTAAAAAACCAGCTCACTGAGTGTGTATTTGATCTGGGAGAAACTGACTATTTTGAATACACCTGGATGGTCCGAAGGTCTCTATCTTGATAGTTTTAATGCCAGTTTAGTGAGGTATGCAATGAACTATAAACTAGAATGCCAGTTAGCACTAAAATGAATTGCCGAGAGACCACAGGACTTCCTTTTTGGTCAAACTGAAAGAGAAGACAACTGTCATGAATAAAATGCTAATATTCACGAAACAAAGCCCTCTGCTGATTGAGATGGCTATAGATCAGTAGCTGCACTGTTTCACCCATTGGTGACAGGTGTGTGTGTGTTTCAGTAATTTTGATGATTGTGCCTATCTAGGTGAGAAAATACCAAAATTGAGATCTAAGGGATTCCCTAGGAAGAATCTAGAGACAGGTAATTTATTTGTATTTTAACACTAAGAATAATATTGTCATAAAAAATCCAAGCGATAACATGAGTCCCTTTTGGCCACCACACAATTTCACTTTCCTCTCCCAAGATAACCAAGTTAACTAGCTGTTACACACATTTCCTTCCATTCTTTTTCTGCATAACCACATAAATAAATACATGCAACTATGTTATATATCTTTCAACGTCAAATACATACCACCCTGTACATATTAGCATATTTTTTCACTTAAAATTTTTAGAGAGCTTTTCTATCTACATTTAACACCCACCGCTTTATCTAATTCAAGTTCCTCATTTTGCATAAGTGGAAACCCTAGTCTAAGTAGTAAAATGACTTTACTAATGTCCGATAGCTACAAAGGAGGGACTGGAGCACTGGCAGTCCTCTTACTATCAAGCAAAATAATTGTTATTTATTGAATACAGTTTGCAGAAACTGAAAGGGGAAAAATCCACTCAGAGTTAAGTCTCTCCAATAGTTAAAACTAATTTTTTCTTAGTTTGTTTTTGTATGCAAAACTACTTTTCTACATAGTTGTAATCAAAGCACAAATTCTCCTGGTCATTTTTTTCCACTTGTTAATCAGATATTCATGTTTTTATGCAGTCGACGAGTTAGAGGGCAATGATTGATGACCTAGTATTTCATCGAGTAGTCAAGCCCTCTTTCCCACTGAAGTCAACCTGCCTCTTATTGTATTTAACCCCTTCTTCTCATTCCTCACAAACTTTCGGGTGTTCCACTACTGGCTTCACCTGCCCCTAGATCCTGGTCCGGTTCATTCTCATCCGTTCTAGAGCCATTTCTTAACTCTGAAAGAGCTCTCATCTCCATCTTGGGTCTCCAGAAGGATCTCCTTACTCTCCTGGACCCGAGTCGCCTGGGAGTTCCCAAAAGGAGGCATAGCAAGTTTCGCCCGGGAAGTCCAGGAAATGAGGGTCGCTGATGGCCACGCCCTACAACTCTGGGAACCCCGAGAATTTATGGGAGTAAAGAGACTGTCGGGTCACTGCCTGGTCGGAGTGCGGTGGCGGGGCTCAGCCCTATTCACGTGAACCAGCCCCAGTGGAAGGAGTTCGTTTTCCCACCAGAGGGGGCGCTGGGGTGAGCGCCTGGTGGCAGCCCCCTCCTCTCCCGCGTATTCCTGGGCGTCGCTTTCCGCCCCGAGCCGTGACGCCATCTCCCCGCGCCGGGGGCGGGACGCGCTGACGCTATCTCCGGGCGCCAGGTTGTTGGGGGGGGCGTTCTGGGTGTGGGGCGGCTCCGGGGCCGGGGATGGCGGCGGCCGCTGTTGCGGCGGCTCCGGGACAAGCGGGAGGAGCCCGAGGAGCGCCGTGAGATGGGCCGGTGAGTGTGGTTGTGAGTGGGGCCCGACGGGCCAACCTCACTGAAGCCAAGCAGGCCTGGTCTCTGGAGGAAGTGGCCCCCGGAGCCCGTGGCCCCGCCAGACCCGTTGCCCGAGACCCGCGGACCGAGCGAGCAAAAGAGGCCACACCTAGACCCCCCGCTACGGCCTGGCCCAGAAGGCGCCCTCAGGCCCCGGGGTCCCCCCGGGCCGAGTTGTCCAAGTCCGCCGGGCGGGAAGGGGTCCCCAAACAAGGAAGCATCGCCTGCGGGGCCTCGCCTCTGCCTCTCTGGTTGAAAGGTTGACCCCTTACTCTCTAAAGGTTGAATTCCCAATTTTAGGCCCTACCTTTGTTGGAGCAAGGATTGCAGGATCACGGGAAGCCATAATCTCTAATCTCTTCCAAGCCCCTCTCTTTCTGGCGGGCGCACCCCTCAGCGATTCGGGGCTCGGACTGGGGTCAGCCACTTGATTTCGGGCTCTGTCGGCATCGTTGGCAGCTGTGCGGAACGGTTCCCCTTCCCGTTAGGTTGGGGTCACAGTCTGCGTCTACCCCTTGAGAAATCCTCATTGAGACCCTCTAGAGGCCGAGGTTTCAGATTCCGAAATGTGGGAACCTGGTGCACAGGCTTGGGTCTTTGTTGTCATTCGCTCAGACCTTTTGCCTTCTTTGGCCCTTTCATTAGTTTGTGGCCAACCCTCCAGTGACCTAGAGGCAGTTTTTCTTTAATGCTTTAGTTGCAGGGAGCAGGGATCATTCAGGGATTAAGATGTGACCCCAATTTCTGTTGGGAACGAAGGAGAAAGCTAACTGCTTTTCAATTACTGAAACTGCTGGCAAAGAAGGGATGCAAGATGTAATTTGTGTTTATGGAACTAAGAATTTTATCTTTCCACCTTGTTTTCCTATCTCATCACCTTTTTTTTTTTGTACATCTGCACTTTTCCAATCCTAAGAGATAAATGTTGCCTTCACTTTGGTGAGAGATTTGCAGTGTTCCATAGGGCTTGGACTGCACAGTGGGTAGTTTCTCAAAGAGTACTGGTCAGTACTATGTTCTCTGTTTTGAGAGATTAAGGCTCCGTGCTTCAGTTCTTGATGTTTCTGGCACGTGTAGATAGAGATATTGTTGGTTTAGTGTGAGTTTTGTTTCCCCATTGTTAGCTACATGAGGACCAAGGCAATGTTTTCAATTTTTATCACATCTGATTCAGCACTTGCTACAAAGTTGTCACTCAGAAAATTTTACACACACACACACACACACACACACACACACACACACACACACACACACACGAGCCTTTTTTTTTTTTTACCCTGAAAAATCTGTTAATAAGGTTTCCCCTTGAGTGACTCCCCCTTGACCTCCTTTTCTGCCCCAGAAACATAAATAATTGTTCTTTTTCCTCTAGTGCTGCTTTTCTCGTTTAAATAACCTCCACATGTGTGTTTTCATCAGCCCTAAATAAAAGGTGAAGTCTGTGAAGTTGATTTTTCCGGCTTCCCATTGTTCACGTGGGAACAGTGTTAAGCCTTCTGCTTTTATTTGTGCATTTTCCTGAAATTGGGATTGGAAGTAAATTTAACCTTTGGGGAATAGGTAAAGGAGAGAACAAAAAACATGATATTAAGGAAATCAACAAAGTTTAACACATGGAATTTTTTTTTCAGGGATGGCTTCCTACAAATTAGAGCTTAAGAGACAGTTTTTTCTCTATTCAGCTACTTGGCACTCTGGATAAATGTGCTGTTACCTCTGGAGAAGAGGATGAGGCAGGGACTCAGGGACTTTCATGAGTTTGTAGCTTTGGAGTTGCCTCTCTCAGTAGCCCTGGAGAGGGTCAGAGGCTAGGCTTCTGTTTACTTTATCCCTGTTTCTGTCTTCTAGGCTCCCAGGCCAGTGGGGAGGACAGTGCTTCTTACTGCAGCTGCTCAGAAGCACCACTGGAAGCTCAGGTAACAAAGGCACTTTGGATACCTTGTTGCAGAAAAACATCTCTGAGTCAGCAGAGTGGAAAACAGGACAGAGTATAATGTAGAAATCTCTTCAGATCCAAAGAACTGGAGTCTGACTGGAAGAAATAGGTGACAAAGTTCATAAACATTGAAGTGTTCAGACCAAAAAGATACTTTATGACTATGGACAAAAGCATGTATGAAAGGTGACAATGAGAGAAAGGAGAGAGAGAGAACTGATGAATCACAGAGACCTAAGATAGTAATAAACAGGCATATTTGGAGGAATGAAACCAGAATTGTAGGAAGTGGTGCCTAGAGCAGACCTACAATGTAAAAGGAACCATTGGCAAAAAAGAAAGGGAATGAATGAAGAAGGCAAATTGAAGGTGGTCACTGAGAAGAAAAGAAGTCTTGCCAGACTAGGGAACAAGAAGTCTATGAATTTTGTTGCTCTTTGGGAAGGAAGAGAAACAAATTGTAGAACATGTTAGTAGAATCATTCTCCCCATAGGGCCTTAGTTTGAAAGTAGTTATTTCATGGGGCAAAGAAAATACTAATTTTCATAACATGTTTAGGGAGCAAGGTTTAAAAAAAAAGCAAGACAGGCTTTTTTCAGGACTTAACTGAGGCATGGGCCCTTGAGGTAGTGGTGATATGAGGCAAAGGAGGTGGAGAGTTTAGCCAGGCCTGGGGTGGGGGGGATGGGGCTGGGTGAGATCATAACCCGAATTAGGCTGGGGAAAGGAAGCGAGGATGAGGTCATATGTTCAGGAAAGAAGATAGCACAGTAGTCTTTGGTGGCAAAAGGAGAAACTTAGGAAAAGAGCCAGCAGCAAAAATCATTCCAATCCCCCATCAGAGGCATAACTAATCATGAAGCGGTTGGTCTCTCTGGGGTTGTGGCGCCCACAGGTTATTTATGCGTTATTAAATGCTTGTCCTTGTAGCTCATTGTAGTTCCCCTGACTGTTACTTTCATGTCCTTGGCTGGATGAGTGAATTGGATAACTCCTTGTTTGCCTCTTTCTCATACCTCTTTTTTTTCCCAGAAGTCCTCTTTGTTACATCTTACCCCACGGGCACAGCTCCTACTATTTCCTTTGACTTCATTCACCCCTAGGTTACTTTTCTTTGCCTCTGATTTGTTCCCTAGCAGATGTGGGCGCCCCAGCCAGCAGCAGAGAGGGGTGCAGGGGAGCCACAGAGAAGCCCTTTCTGATGCCCCAAGGAGCAAGCCGACCCCTTCCAGGCTCCAGGAACACCACAAAGCAATATGAAACCTGTTCATGAAAGGAGTCAGGAATGCCTTCCACCAAAGAAACGAGACCTCCCCGTGACCAGCGAGGATATGGGGAGAACTACCAGCTGCTCAACTAACCACACTCCCTCCAGTGATGCCTCTGAATGGTCCCGAGGGGTCGTGGTGACTGGGCAGAGCCAGGCAGGAGCCAGAGTCAGTCTCGGGGGTGATGGAGCTGAGGCCATCACTGGTCTGACAGTGGACCAGTATGGCATGCTGTATAAAGTGGCTGTGCCACCTGCTACCTTCTCCCCAACCGGCCTCCCATCCGTGGTGAACATGAGCCCCTTGCCCCCTGCATTTAATGTAGCGTCTTCACTAATTCAACATCCAGGAATCCACTATCCTCCAGTCCACTATGCTCAGCTCCCATCCACCTCTCTGCAATTTATTGGGTCTCCTTATAGCCTTCCCTATGCTGTGCCACCTAATTTCCTACCGAGTCCCCTCCTTTCTCCCTCTGCCAACCTCACCACCTCTCACCTTCCACATTTTGTGCCATATGCCTCACTCCTGGCAGAAGGAGCCACTCCTCCCCCGCCGGCTTCATCCCCAGCCCACTCATTCAACAAAGCCCCCTCTACCACCTCCCCACCTGGGCAGTTGCCACATCACTCAAGTACTCAGCCGCTGGACCTCGCTCCAGGTCGGATGCCCATCTATTATCAGATGTCCAGGCTACCTGCTGGGTACACCTTGCATGAAACCCCTCCATCAGGTGCCAGCCCCGTTCTTACCCCTCAGGAGGGCCAGTCTGCTCTGGAAGCAGCTGCTGCCAATGGACAGAGACAGCGAGAGCGAAATTTAGTAAGACGGGAGAGTGAAGCCCTGAACTGCCCCAACAGCAAGGGCGAAGGCCAAGGACTGGGGCCAGTGGTAGAATGTGTGGTGGATGGACAGTCGTTTTCAGGTTCTCAGACTGCTCGGGTGGAGGTGGCAGTGCCAACACACCGAGGGACCCCAGACACTGACCTCGAGGTCCAGCGGGTGGTTGGCACTTTAGCTTCTCAGGACTATCATGTGGTGGCAGCTCAGAGGAAGGATGAGCCCAGCCCCCTCAACCTGTCCCATCATACACCTGACCGTAAGGGTGAGGGGCGAGGGTCAGCTAGGAACCCAGCAGAAGTGGCCGAGAAAAATCAGGCCCGAGGGGTCTACCCTCAATCCCATCAGGATCTGGTAAAACACAGACCTTTACCCAAAGCAGTGGTTGTAGCCAATGGCAACCTGGTGCCCACTGGAACTGACCCAGGACTGCTGCCCATGGGCTCGGAGATCCTGGTGGCATCAAGTTTGGACATGCAGGCCAGAGCCACCTTCCCAGACACGGAGCCAACAGCGCCCCCCATTACCTCCTCCCACTTGCCCTCCCATTTCATGAAAGGCGCCATCATCCAGCTGGCTACGGGGGAGCTGAAGCGGGTAGAGGACCTCCAGACCCAGGATTTTGTGCGCAGTGCTGAAATGAGTGGGGGGCTGAAGATTGACTCTAGCACAGTCGTGGACATACAGGAGAGCCAGTGGCCTGGATTTGTCATGCTGCATTTCGTGGTTGGTGAGCAGCAGAGCAAAGTGAGCATCGAGGTGCCCCCTGAGCACCCCTTCTTTGTGTATGGCCAGGGTTGGTCCTCCTGCAGCCCTGGGCGAACTGCACAGCTCTTCTCTCTGCCCTGCCATCGGCTACAGGTGGGAGATGTCTGCATCTCTATCAGTTTACAGAGCTTGAACAGTAACTCCGTTTCTCAGGCCAGCTGTGTTCCCCCAGGCCAGTTGGGCACCCCCCGAGAAAGGCCTGAGAGGACTGTCTTGGGATCCAGAGAGCAATGTGACAGTGAGGGGAAGAGCCAGCCATCAGGCGAGGGCTCCCAAATGGTAGAGCCCTTGCAGTCAGAGCCTGGTGCTCAGGCCTGCTGGCCAGCGCCAAGCTTCCAAAGATACAGCATACAAGGGGAGGAGGCACGGGCTGCACTGCTCCGTCCCTCTTTCATTCCACAGGAGGTAAAGCTGTCCATCGAAGGGCGTTCCAATGCAGGAAAATGAACCTCTCCCAGACCAGGACTGAGGCTTTACCCCAGAGCTGGGCCTCACCGTGAGCAGGCAGAGGATTTGCACATGCCGAGCAGGGAATGGCTCTCTTGGCAGTGAGACTGGCGGGGGAAGAGGAGGCAGCCTCCCAAGACAGAGTCTGTTGCCCATTACCCAATGGCATCCTTTCAGGACAGCCTCAGAGGGCGCTCTGATGGGGAGCAGCAGGCCTGGGCCAAGGAAGGAAGGAGATGCACACAGGATAAGAAACATTCCAAATATCAGGGCCTCCCTGTTCTTTCCTCCCCACCCCAGCTCCTGCAAGGGGAAAGTCAGGCTTTGGGAACAGGTGGCAGAGGGAGGGAGCAAAGAAAGAGCCAAAAATGATGATCCACAGCTTATAGTAGCACTGCAACTACGGTTTGTTTGTTTTTTTCCTTTTTTTTGTGATGGGAGGGCAGGAGGCCCCCATGGTTGGAAATAAGAAGGTTCCCACCCAGAACTCTTCTTTTGAGAGCTGTGCACTTTAAGGGGGACTTTGTTACAGATGTCTATGGCTGGCTTTGTGGGGGAGGAGCACTCATCTACAGGACTGTGATCCCGTGCTTCCGCCCATTCCCATCTCTTCCCATCACGCCTCCCACAAGGCTTTTAGCACCAGGACAGAGAAGCCCCTTCAGGGTTCAGAGTGAAGCACTGCTTTGGCTGGTTGACTTTTGGGAGAAAGACCTGATGGCCAGGTTGACTGGGCTCTAGGCAGGGCTTCTGGAAGGGTAGCTGACTTAACGAAGTTTCTCTTACCCTTCCTGCCAGACCTGCTTCGAAATTGTACTGAATCTCAAGTTGGTAATGGTGACTTCTGAAAGAACCAGTGGGCCCTTTTTCCCAGGCCCCCAGACCCGTCTTCTGTCTGTCTATGTTGTGCCTAAGTGCCTGCGCTGCCCCAGCCCTTCTGCTGCCCTAACCTCTGCATGGTGTCTTGGCCTGGGCCTGATTGTAGCTGTACTGCCTTTCCCCTTCTGCAAAATTGGTTTTGTCCAGTCTGACCAAACCTCTGGTTTTTGTGTGTAGGGGTCTCTCTGGTTTCCCCTTCAGTTATACTCTCTGTTTTTAAAAACTCAGAATCATGTCCTCTCTTCTGCAGCTGAACAACTTGGTAGAGAAACAAGAATGGAACTGTGCCCTGGGTTAGGGCACATGCACCTGGCTGGCAGTGCCTGCCCTGGTGTTTTTACACAGCCCCTTCCATCTTATTCCACTTTGTCTCCAGCATTAAGGCTTTTCTAAGCCATCCCTTCCTACAGCCAATTCTTAAGATTCCAGGATAGTCTTGATAATACCTGAGGTCTCCCAGATTTCATTTCATGGTAGAGTGTTCCTCTGTAAAGACTATTTTTAGTCTTGGTTGCATTTGCCCCGCTATGTCTTAACCTCACATTTTCTTCACAACTTTTAGCATCAGCTTGGACAATAGGATTCCACTGGGTATTGAGAATTAGGCTCCCCCACCAGCTTTCATGTGGGTGGGTGAGTTTTTTGTTTGTATTTTGGGGGGTCTTTAGACTGTTGAAGCAACTCAGGGTATTGTCCACCCAGCTGTCTTGTGAGGCTTCTCCCAGGGTAGGATCCTGGCATTTCCTTTAGAAATGTACTTGGACTGGCCAAGACCTGGCTTGTCATCAGTCCCAAACCTCTGAGGTCTGATTTCTGCTCTGTCAAAAACTTTAGGCAAGTCTTGTGACCTCTTGCTCTTTCACTTCCTCCCCAGCTGCCAAATGGGGATAAATAATCTTACCTACCTCCTGGGGGGAGGAGGAGTTCTGAGAATGTCGTTATTCTTGATGTTCAGGTGCTAAAGGTTGTTCTCCTGGGGCTCACAAAGTGTCTGAGACTGGCTTGTTTGCTACAAGTCCTACATGCCACTGTTTCATTCTTAGCAGTCACCTGGCCAGTCAGCTTTTGGAGGCCCATCTAAAAGAAGCTGCTGACCTGACCGTAAGGACGTAAGTCTCTGGTTTACCTCAGAACCAAACACCAACCCCTGTCTGGTGAGCACTCAGCCTTGTATGCATTTGGCATTGTGTCCTTTCCTTTCTCTGTCCCCCATCCTCTCTGAATGCTGCTTTCTCTGGCTTGTTTCCTACAGTGGGGGCCTGTGGGGCTGAGTCTTGAGGAATCCTCTCAGATGATGGTCCTGGAAAAGGGCCTCATCTCTGGCTGTTTCATGAGCAACTCATTCCTAGGGATTATTTGCACGGGTTTCTTCCTCATAGGAAGGCTCACCACCCTAATACAGTGACACACACACAGTAGACACTCAAGAAATGTCCACCAAGGACAACACCAACTGAGCTTCCTTCTTACGGGAGCAAACCTATATCCAACCAGATAACAGGCCAAGTACTTTAAATCAAATAACCCTCCACCTCCCAGCCTGGCAACTTCTGCTTGATCCTGGAAAGAAAATCTTGTGCATCATGGCCCAACGCCTTGACATTTCTGCTGTTGCTCCTTTGCTGTCTCATAGTGAAACAATACCAGCAGCTCCCCTGATACCGTGCCATGCATATGTAATAATACTTGATTTTGCTGAGCTGCAGAGATATCTATTATGTAAAGTATGGTTCCAGGAAGAGCTGTGGCATTCCTCTTGCCTTTTCCCTCTGGTTCAGTCTTTTCTTCCAGGCATTAGAAGTAAAAGTAACCTATGCTGTGTCATTCTTCCCTATAGGAATTTCCTAAGTTTGCAAGAGACTGAAGAGTGGTTTTAAGAGAGCATTGTAGGGGGAAGCTGGCAGCTTTTTGGGGGAATGGGCAATTGAATGCCAGAGCCAGTCACTTGTCAGTGTCATACATTCCCAGAGCCTAGGAGTAGGAGGGAGGCCTGCTACCTCTGGCACTAAACAGAAATGCTGGTGCCAATTTGGGAGGAGGGGAACCAGGAAAAGGATGGGTGATGCATCCAAGTGTTGGATCATCATTCCTATTGCAATTAGTGTACATGGGGGAGCTGGGAGGATGGTGGCATGGGGAAAGGGGAACTGGGGGTTCAGGGTTGAGTACTCATACCCAAGGGAAGGGGTCCCAGCAGATCTGGGTTGACCCTTCTAAACTCTGGGTCCCTGTTGGTTGTAACACCGAGGGTTTTGGTCTGTGCTGCTTTGCCCATGCTGCTGTCTGCTCACTGTCCTGCCTGCTGCCCTTATAGCTCCCTGTCCTTCCATACCTTAGGTCATCTAGGTGAAATCCAGGCATCTTGTCCATTCTTACCTGTGCAAGTGTTACTTTATAGCAAAGTCATGAATAGGGGTAGTATGAAATGCTGCTGGGGGGTTGGTGAATCCAAAGGGATATGGCTTCAGTGCTCGTCGGGAGCCCTTTGCCTCCAAATATCTGTCTTGAGGGACAAACAAGCAGGTCCTGTTAGTGGATGTTCTCTGTGTATTAACTTCTCTCCTTTGTGGTATCTTGTATCCTGTTCAAAAGAAAAAAAAATAGATGGGGTGCCAGATTAGGGCCTGTGTCAGCACTCCAGGGAGGTTCATCTGGCTCCAGTTATGTGGATTCTGGGGCTGGGAGAGGGTTTGAAGTTTGGCTAAAATAGCCCCTCAGTGGGGTTCAGTTTTATTTTTACCACTGGGCATCATAGAGGGACAGGGTTGGTGGTATGATTTAAACCTGCAACAAACAAGCAGGCTTATTGAAGAGTTGAGTGATCACACTGGATATGAAGGATAGACATTGCTTGACTGGGAAGGGGCTGGGTCCGTTGGATTAAAGATAACTTGATGAATTGGCCATGGGAGATTAAGTCACAGTCTTAAGAGCAAAGTAAACAGGGCAGAGGCCAAGTTTTAGGGAGACTCCTTGGCCTCCGAGGGCTAAGTTTACTAAACCATGCTGAAGTACAACACTTAACAGATGGGAAAAGGTGTACACTACAGTTGAAGAGCTAAACTGTGCTAGTTTGGATGTTGACCAGGAGCCTACTAGCCCTTTGCTGGGAAGCCTCCACCCTCTGCTTCCCTGGGGTAGGGAAGGATGCCTACATTATGCAATAATAAAATAAGCATCTGGGTCTTTGCAGCTGTCAGTTGCTCTTTCAACTCTAGGATCCATCTTTGGGCCAGAGGTCTGGTTTGGGCTTAGGATGACACTGGCCCTCAAGATGCTAGAGTAGATTGCACTCTCTCCTTACCTGCAAACTATGCACAGTGCCTGGGGCAGAAGGAAGAGAGGTGTTGTGGTTTGCCCTGCTGAGCCTCCCCAGCAGGAACAGTAGTAATAAATGCACTTTTCACACTAAGGTTTCCTTATTAGTTGTCCTGTTAAGCCTAGATCCTCCCCTGGTAGATTGCAAACTCAAAAGTCTGTGTGATTCCAAAGCCGTTCTACTGCAAATGCCCAGCAGTGAAGATGGCCTCAAATTGGGTTCCTGTCTGCAGTGTGTGTGGCAGCCCATGTGCCTTTATCTATTGTCAAACTTGCAAGCATTTATTTATGTGTTTATAACTGTCATGGGGACTGAGGTTCTTCAGAGAGAGAGCATGCAAGCTTATGATGCAGTGGTTTTACACCCACTCCCTAGATGTAGTTTCCTTACAGCGTGAGCCACGAGTGGTTAGTGCATTGCTGGTATTGTTGAAGGCAAGGTTCATCCCTCATTTGCTTGATACTCGTATTGAGAGAATTGAGATCGTGTTGGGGAAGACACTGACTGTACTCATGGCAAGCTTGAAGTATTAAAATAAGGCTGTCTCCACACCCACCCTAGTCACACACAGGATCCCTGTAGCCAAAACAGTATATGTTCCAGCTGCAGAGAGCAAACTGCTCTCAGCTTGCACAGCACCTTAGGGGAGGGAAGAATATATGGATAGGGAATGGGGTGGAAAAAGATGGGAATGTTGTCATCCAGTGGCTTTAGGGTCCTGAGGAGTAGAGGGATGGCACTGGGGAGGTCTGGATGGATCTGATTTGTGTAGGAGTTCCCTGTAGATAAAATACTGATCCCCCAACTACTATCCCCAGTATGTAATGGCTGAATTAATATGTAATCAACTGCATTGTATCTAAAGCCTTAGAACTAGTCAGGTGCTCCCCCCACCCAATACCATTTCTTACCCTCTAATCCTACCTGATCTTTAACAAAGCATTAATAATTCTAAGGATAATCTCTATTTTGTTGTGCTTTTTTGTAACTGTTTTAAATAAATCAATTTGTACTGTATATTTGTACTTTTGTGAGATCCTTTTTGCTGTTTTACCATTTTAAGTCTCTGTACTTGGCTACACACAGATTGTATTTTTATTGTTAATGCTCTTCTTATGGATACCTGCATTTAACTTGTGGACTATGTAAACACAATATATATATCAATATCTATATATCTATATATCTATCTATATAAACTACTAGCTTTTCCTTTTGGTGTTTGCGCCTTCTTCCTATCCTAGCCTTAGATAGTGGCCATTGGGTGGGGATCAAAGTTCTTCGTGGGGGAGCTTGTAATAGAAAGCAAATGGTGCCTGTCTTCCAGTGGTGGGTCAGGGCAGACTGCATGAGGTAATCCTAAAGCAGGGTCTGCATATTCTGTTGATGTATTTCGGAGACCCAGAATGCTACCTGTTAGGCTTAAGTACTAGTGCAAGGAATCACAAGGACCTGTAGATGCCCTCACTGCTGGCCTTTTCTCCAGCTTTTCTTTCCTCTGGAATACTGCCAGAAATTGCTGGAATATATCAGCTATAATCCTAGCTACTGCTTCTAATTTAGAAAGCTTGCCACTAGTAAGGGGTGAAATATTCAGATACATGATGACGACTCAGATACATTCACTGAGCACTTACTATGTGCCATAAACTATCCTAAGTGTATTATAAACAATCATTTGTTGCTAGTTTTCATTTTGTGGGTGGGGAAACCAAGACAGAGGTTAAGTAACTTACCCAAAGTCCCATAGCTATTAAATGGCAATGCAGAACTTTAAATCCAAGCATCTAACTTCTGAGTTTGTAGTGGCAACTAGTTTTCAGTCAAAACTAGTGAGCTAATCCATGTGAAGTACTTCACATAACCTTTGACAGAGTGAGTGCTCAACCATTTTGAAGCATCCCAGGCGGGGACTTCAGCATGAAGCTCTGTGAGAAAGGCATTTGGCTCCATTAAGTACTTTCCTTTAAATGTCCAGTGCTTTGTAATAAGCTTATTAAAACTTTTGTATTTTTCAGAACAGAAACACGTCAGCCTGTCTGGTGGGAATGGAATTAACCCTAGTTTGGTGGAGAGTCAGTTAACACTGTGAAATAGCCTTGAACCTATGGGAGGTCAAAGAGGAGTCCAAGTTTCCTTGTTATGATATTGGAAGAGGTCCACATTCCTGGCATAGTTATTTTTCTGGCTACAACTTAACTAGGGCACTTCCTTCTGGACTTCAAGATCTATAATTATCTGAACTGTACACAACCTTTGGTGCAGGCTAAGGAAAGTTCTGTGCTTGTTCTGTACCACGACAGAAACTTTTTAGAAATGACCTCAGCTCTTGACCTCCATGCTTTGGCAGCCATACAAACGGCTGGAGTAGTTATTTTGCTCTAGCCTTGACCACTACTGACTTGAGCTCTCATATCACCGTAATTCTGGATTTTCCTCAGTGAGTTTTATTATCTTGGCCATAGGGGATAAATTAAAAGATGGATTACCTCTTCTTTCAAACCTGAGTTTCTTTGGTGCCATGGACTTTAATACTCCAGCTTTCTAAGAACACTCCTAAATGCAGCTGACTGCTGTCTGGGATAGAGTTTTAAAAGTTTGACAAACTGAATTCTGCTGAGAAAAGTAGCCAGCACCTAGTCTAAATACTGCATCTTTAGAAAATGCTAGTTTATGAGACAAGGAATCTACTTCTGAGTTTGGAAAGGGTAAGTTAGGTTTAAGTAGCTCTTGAGACTATAGATTTTCTTCATAAGGGTTATGGAAATAAGACTGTGTTCACAAAGTCAGCATTGGTTCCTTCTTTAAATGTCATAGTTATGGCTCATCAACTTGTAAAGGCCCAAATAAGGGATCTCCACTTAGGCACCCTAAGTTGTGGAACACCCTACCACTGAAAGGGACAATCTCCTAGAAGTCAGTACCTGAAAATTTACACGCAGATCTCTCCTAGGTCACTTCATTTGCTAGAATGAAATTGAGAGAAAGGCAGGAAAGAGCCAGTTAAAGATAAAATTAATTTATTTGCCCTCACAATTCCATGGGCCATACTGAGCCCCTCAGTCCTGTAAGCATGCCCTGCAGCAGGGGGCTGGGGAGTCCAGTTCTCTGGAAGGCCTGCTCCTTGTCCAGAACTGCTTTGAGCTGGTCCCTCCTGACCCCATCATCCTGCTCCCACATGCAAGAACACAGGTCCACCTGCAACAAAACCTGGGCCTGCCTCGGGCAGCAAGGACGGCCTTGTGGATGGCCGCAGCACTGATCCCTAGGGGCTTGGGTGGACAGGTGAGCAGGAGGGCAGGCAAGAGGGTGTGGTTCAGTGCAGAGAGCTGCTGTTCTGCTCCTCAAAGGCCATCTTGCCCAGAAGCTGGCTGTCCAACTCCACCCCACTCACAGGTAGCTGGAAGAAGTTCATTTCAGCTGCTAAGGCTGCCATGGCAGAAGGGTCCTGGCCAAACTGAGCTCGCAACATCATGTCCATTTTCTCCAGCCTTCTCTTGAGCCGCTTGGCCTCCCGCTCCCGGATGAGCCGGGCCTGCCGCTTCTCCGGGGTTTCATTGGCCCGCTTCAGCCTCATGGCCTCCCGATCCCGCTGCAGCCGGCGAGCCCGCTGCTCATCTGTCTCCTGCATGCGCTGCAGGCGCTTGGCTTCGCGGTCCCTCATGCGCCTTACCTCCCGCTCCTCGGGGGTCTCATTGTCCCGCCGGCTCTTCTTGGCCGTGCGCTCTCGTTCCAGCCGCTGCAGCCGTACTTCCAAAGGCTCATTCTGTCGACGTAGGGCCCACTTGCGTACACTGGGGGTCTGGGCTTCCAGTAGCTTACGGTAGGCAGCACAGTTGTTGCACACAAGCAGAATACCAGCAGGGTACACGGGAGTACTAAAGGCAACGTCCTTTCCCTCAGTACTGGAGGAGCCCTCGCTGTGGGCTGGGGGTAGGGACTCCATATTAAGTACTTCAGGAAGTTTCTCACTAGAATGCAAACATTTCGGATGGTTAGTTTCTCCCTCTGGCAAGGCTCAGGTATCCAGCCCTGACTTAACTCCTGTCCTACCAGACCAGTTGCTCCATGTTCACCAGTAGGGGTCCGTTGGAGGGCTGGGGAGGCCTCTTCTACCTCTCCACCCTGGTCTTTGGGCTGGGGTGTCTACCAAGTCTTAAAGCCCACCTGGAGGTAGAGATGAAACAGCTGCTGCCACAGCAAGCCACCAGATAGCAGATGAGCCCTACAATATGCAGTTTTCACTCCAGCTGGAATGACGATGTTTGTAACTGCTGTGCAGGGCAGTCCTGCTGTGGAAGGAGGCAGTCTTCTCTGAGGTGGAGCTGCCTCCAGAGGAGTACAGTCCACTGGCTCAGCCTCCTCCCTTCCTGGATCACTACTGTACACTAGGCAACTGGGACTAGGACACAATTCACACAGTTCTAGTCTTCCTGGCACACAAATGTAACTTCTTTCTCCATGCTTCCATGAATGCACTTGGACTTCTCCACATGTCTTTCTAGATGAAAATATTATTCTGGTAGAGGAAAGAATATCCTTGGGGATATCTAATGGAATGGGCATGTTTACTAGCCTCATTACTTGTGTATCCAAAGAGCTGAGTCAGTTGCCTTTGCATTAGCCACCTCTAGCCTTTGCTATGACTTGGGAAAGCAGAACCTACACCCAGCAATTTGTTCCCAGCACAAGAGAATTCGGTAACCAGCTAACCTGTTAAACGTGGCATGGCTGGTGAAACGGGCTCCACACACAGCACAGTTAGATCGCTGGTCCTCCGAGTGGATTAGGAGGTGGCGACCCAGTGACCCTGGGGAGCTGAGGGCCCGGCCACAGACAGGACACATATAGCTCTTGGCGCTCACCACTGCTGCAGTGTGCTGTAAAACAGAGCCTTAGCCTGTCAACTCACACCGCCTCTCAGACAAACTACACCCACTTAGAAACTGCTTTCTGGGAAGCATCCCCTTCGGTGTCAGAACAAGGACTTGCAACTATTCTGCCTGTTTAGCACCTGGAAAAGGTGTCATGTTAATGGGACTTCAGAAGGGCCAGGTCATTCAAACTATTGCTCAGATTTCCTTACTTTGAATTCTGGCCTGAGGAATATGTGGCTGGCTTGAGGAATACTGGGGCTGCAGAGGCTCTAAAGAGCCTGAGAAGATTCATGCTCGGCACCATTTCTATCTGCTTGCCTCACATTGTGCGTGTTTAAGGGAGTGACAGAGGCCGAGTCTGGAAGCTAGCTGGAGACTGGTATCCAAGGGTATTTAAGCGTCCTGCTTGCCTTCAATCTTTTAAAAAGTCTTCTGGAGAAATGCTTTTGCTCATGAACCAACTATCTTTATGGTAAAACCCAGCCTGCTGTGTGTGCTGACACCTTTTCAATACAGGTCACGAGGCTCAGGTGCCTGGTGATTGGGATCAGGAGAAAAGAACACAAAAGTTTATCTTATTCTAAACCCCCTGTTTACATTAACTTTCTCCATATTTCAGAAAAATGTATGTTAACTCATTCTTATTTAAAACAAAGCCCTCATTATTAACAGGTGTTAGTTTCTATCTCACTTTAAAATATGCACTATATAATTTAGAAAAAAATACAGTGTGCCTGCCTGGGAACCCAGAACATACTTACCCAACATAACCCATTTACTCTCTAAGATGTTCTAGGGATTGGAATGGAGCCTCAGTGGAGGCGACAACCCTTTGGGATCCCCACCCCATACCTGGTACACATGCGCAATCAGTTGCTCTCGACTCCCACAGTCTAACTGGCAGAGGGGACACTGGCAGAGTCCAAGTAAGGGGTCAGGATTCAAATTCTCTGTGACCTGCAATTCAATAAACAGGCAATTCATCAAGACTGTTTTCCAGTCTTTTCCATGTCCCTACTTCTTTTAACAGGATATCCTATTAAAAAGAACACAACTTGACATCACATTATTCTTAGGTTCTCACTGTGGACAGAAGAAAAAAGTAACAGGGAAGGAAACTGAATCTGTTCCCATCATTTTCTCCAAGGCTTCCTGCCATGAGGACATAGGATTGCCACAGAGAGACCTCATCTGTTTTTTTTCCCTAAGGTAAGCCCTGTAGAACTTTTAGCCTCCCTCCTGCCATGCTTCTTTCAGGAATCCTCAGGAAACAGCGTAGTGAGAAGTTGGCACCTCATGTCACACTTTGATTTAAATTTGCAAGCATATTCAAGAAGTCTTCTAATACTTTTGCCAAGGTGGATATTCTGTTGGGAAAAAAGTGAGGTGCTTTGGGGGGAGAGCCGTCCATGGGTGTAGTGATATGTGGGTGGGAAAGGAGTGTGTTGAGAACTGTGTATCTCAGATCTGGTTAACTGGTGCTGTGAAAGAATACAGGCTTCCTATGATGGCCCAGGGGACGGTCAGAGGCAAGGCTGTTACACGTGAGTGAGAGGGTGGGAGGGTGAGGGAGCTCCCAAACTCAGGAGCCTTTGATCACTTGCCTCGTGCTCTACCACTTCATTCCCACCAACAGGCTGTTCTGCATTTTCTAACTCTTTTTCCACTTTGACCACCCCTCCATCTTCCTCTGATGTGTGGGAAGAGACTTCATCCTGTGTGGTCTCCTCTTCATCACCCTCACTGTCACCTGGAACACACAAACTGGTCACTTGTTCTGATTTTTGCATGAAAACATCTTGAGTTGCTTTCCACCCTAGAGTTTGCAGTTATAATGGAAACATCCTAAGATCTTCCATAATAGAGTCTGTGTTAGTGCTTAGCTGGGTACAAATCATGTTGAGTGGAAACCAGCAATAACTTGTTTATATGCCATATATACACTAAAGAGAACATCTGAGGCAAAACTGCATTGGAAAATGGTTATTGATCTGCACATTATCATAAAAATACTTCTTCTTACACATGGTTCCCAAATAGCTAACACTTCGAACCACGCCTCCCATGCACCCCATGCCATGCCCATTCCCAAGCACACTGCCTCAGACTTACCAGCACTTCTCACTGACTTTATTACTTACTTTTCTCCATAATCCCCCTGCACAATTTCTCCATGGTATCACATAAACTGTTCTATTCTGAGTGCCACTAATCTGTTGACTCCCCAATAAACCCCAAGGCACACTTACAGAGACACCAACAAGTTTTTCTTTCCTCTTACCAATAAAAAAGGCAGTAGTGAATTACTTAAAAATGATGTTGTTTTATAAGGAAAGGGCTCTTGAGTGTAGTGGAAAAATTAGCACAGCAACCAACCTCAGGCAGTTTGTAGTGGTATTTGACTCACTGTGTTCTTAACTCTGCTAGTAACTCAGCTTTCTAGGCTAAATAAGTCCATCGTTTCTTTTGGTTCTTTCAGTTACCTGATGGATAACTGACTGCATTAAGTGGAGGGAACAGGCCATTCTTTACTTTAGGATGAAATATAATTTCTTGTGACTAAAGTAAGAACTCTGTTTTAGTTTAGGGGGCAGAATGTGGCTATAGGGAGGTCTGCCTGTGGCTGGGGATGTGCGACGTTTGTGTGAGCTGGTTTTTTTCCCCATACTTATAAAATAGGGGAAAGATTTTAAAAAGAATCATGATACCAAAGGGAGTTCTTTCTGGAAGGAAAAAAAAAAGTGCTAGTACCTTAAAGATTACAAGAGGAAGCCAAGCCTAGGTAAGCTGTCAGACTCTAGCCCCATTCCAGCCTTGCCTAGACCCTGGACTCTGAGACCTGACCATGAGCAAGAGAAACACAGGGTAGAGTTTTCCCAGGTACCTGCACCAGCAGTGAGACTCAGCTTCCCCAGCTAACAGTGCTTCTTGTCTTGTCTCTGCTATCCCTGTGTAATTTCTAAAACCACCAGTATCTGGGTAAAACTGGTGACATTCTTTTTCTTCATAAGAACATCATCTGCTAGTATTATGTGTGTCTCTGTGAGCTACTCCGCTTGGCTGGTGGGCTGGATCTGGGCCCTGGAAAGCTCTATGGTATGTACGCCTTATTACCCAGCCTACAGCGTTAGTCTGAATCCATCTCGGGAATGAACGATTGGCACAGATTAAGTCACACCATATTTTCCTCCCAGCTTATTTGGAATACTTATAAGCTTAGTCTAAGACAACACTGTATCAAGCACATTTTTGTAACTTATCAAAACCCAAACATCTCTCTCTACTAGAAAGATTTTTTAAAAATAAATATGCCATCTGGAGGGATGATGCATCTTTTCCAGAATGGAAACCTATTAGACTTTCATAGATGTTGCCATTCCTACCTGTTACTCAAACTGGTGGCTCCCACAAGTTTTCTAGAAATATCTGGGTTCATTTCTCTGCACCTGAGCCATAGCTGCTAAATTTTTATTTGCTGTTGTTGTTATTAAGTTATTAGTTTGCGTGAAAACTGTAATTCCTAGAAGGCTGCTAAACTCCCTCCCTCTTCACTCTTCTTCAGCCCCATATGTGGAGAAAAATCAGAAATGTCACTCTGAATTGACAACAATAACCAGTATTAGATGAGATTAATAAAGTATAGAAATCACCCTAGGAAGTAACACATCTCTAAATTCATTTGTTCAGGCAGGTCATGAAACAGGCAATTCATGAAGTTGAACAAGTTGCTACCTACTGTCTTTTCCATATCTTAACCACAGGGACCTACTCAGGACTTGGTGCTGGAAGACCTGACTTTAGCATTTGTATGATGCTTAATCTCATTAGTAAGCAAATCCTCTTGTTTACCATAAAAAGTGGGCCCTCAAGCAAAAATTTCATTAATGCCACCTTACATTAACTACAAATAAATAGATCCTAGGAGACAGAGACTCTTCTTTCCATTTGACCTAACCCAGGGGCTGCCTACTAGTTACCCTATGCCCCTATCACAATCATCACAAACCTATCCGTGAATGGCACTGTGCCAACTACTGAAGTCCATGAACTAAAAAAACATAATGCCAAACCTGTCCTCTCTCTAAGTAAGCATATACCCATACACCTGAGAACACCTTTGGGAACACTGAGGATCCATAATTCTCCTTCTTCATGTCTTCCTCCCAGCCCCCATGCACAATCCCCAGAGCACACACACTCTCATAATTCTTCTCCCATTGCCCTGAGTCATTACCAGAAGGTGCAGAACTCACTGCTACTGGAGTCCTGATCTCTTAGTTGTTGGATAGCTTGTCGCTGACTGCCAAGGTCTCCAGGAAAATCAGTTTTCATCATCGCCTGGCGGGCTTGCTCTTCTAGCCCAGCAAATACTTGATCCCCTGGTGGTCACAAGGAAAAATAGTCAGGCCACCAGCTGGGCAGCATATCCCCAGGCAAGCTGGTTGGAAAGTCAGACCATTCAAAGGTAGGAGACAGGCAGGGACCCTGAGGTGGGGTCATTCATCTCCAAGTCAGCTTGCTGCCTCCGAGTTTCTGGGTGCCTCTACTCTTCCTAGGCAGTAAGCCAGATGCTTTAAAAAGCATCACTTGCTTAAATCCCCATAATCTTGACTTCTTTCATCAATCGCTTCTTTATAAATTTAACTTCAGAATCTCAGTCCCATTTACAACCTTCCATCAGGACTGGTAAGACAGAGGCAAGAAGAGAAAAAGTGATGGTATGAAGATAGGGCAAAAAATCTGGGCAGAATCTCTGAATCTTAGTGTACTAGCATTATGACCCTGACTCCGTGTCTATCTCTGACAATAAACAAGCACTTCAAATAATCCTTCTGAATAGCAATCTCTCTAATCCCACCTTTCATCTATCTCCAAAAAATGCTTTGAAAGTTCTTTCTTGCCTCTTCTAGGTCTTTTATCAGAATTAGCCAAGAGCAAATCAACAACTGGTTGAATAATGGATTAAAGGGAATCAGGTAATACATGAGCTCATTCTGCCGAAGAACAAACTTCCTGAAACTTGCCAACTAGTTTGCAACAAATAATATTTTATCTAGTCTCCTTGGGCCAATGTGGTCGGTTTTTGTTGTTGTTTTGTTTTGTATGGAGTATCCAAAAGCCCTGGACCTGTGCTTGATTATGCATTTACTTCTGACTAACTCTGCCTGGAAACTGTGTGGTTATTCAACAGTTAGCATTTAAGTGATCTTTTATTTCCAAGAGTCCAGGCATAAGGAGAAAAGAGAATTGAGTTTCTCGAGGTTTCTATTATCTCAGTCAGAGCGGAAATTACAGTCCCCATTCCCCAACCACCAAGAGAGAATAAAAAGCCCTAGTGAAATGTTTGACAATCAACTGGGCACTTTCTTACTGAACAGAGAAAGGAAAGTAAACAGGGTCAGTTTCCGAGACATGATCCAACGAGGTGGGAGGAACGAACTGGTCAACTGACCTGTGCTACTAGTCCTTGGGTGATGAAAGAACTGATATGAAGTAGGCTTCAAGTGACTCACATAGGCATTCGTTCAGCAAATATTCATTGAGCAGCTACATGCTAAGTGCTAAACACTAATAATAGCTACTCTTTGGCACTTCCTAGATTTAGGCTCTATGGCAAGTTCTTTATAGTTGTTAGCTCCTTAATTCTCTGCAAAACTGTATGTGGTAGGTATTACTACCCATATTTTACTTAAGAGAAAACTAAAGTCTGTGGTGGAACCAAGTATTCAAACCTAGGACTGTACAACTCTAATATCCATGTTTTTAAACTGCTTTCTAGTAGGGATGTAAGCCAGTCAGACAGTTCATCAGAGTGGTTTTACTAAAAGCAAACGCTTGTCTCTATGTGAGAAGAATGGCCTTGATCCTAGTGTTAATGTTACCTTCAAATGTACATCACAGTGGTTCAACAGTCCCCATGATCAATATTACCTTCATACCATCAGGAACAGATACATACAACTCAGATACCAAAATAATGTTCTCAGGGCCAGTTATGTAACAGAAGGAACCATCGTTTTGATTCTAATACCATTGGATGAGTTACTATGCCTTGATTAGAGTAACTAATATTATGGTAACTCTGAATGATACTGTGAGTAGGGGTAGAGGTGGTTAGAGTTCAAGTGTACTTTTAGCCATATAGCCCTCAATTAAAAAGAAAAACAAGCTGCTATAAGTCCATTTTCATAATATCCAAGATGACACACTGGATATAAATTACTGCTAGGGAAAGCAAAAATGAATTCTGTTATGGCACCTCCTCTTGCTTCTTTGCAGAAGAAACATATTTAATTTCTCCATGTTGGTTCCAGTGCAACCACAAGCCCATGGCCAACTGAAATAGTTACTGAATTCTTCTGGGCAAATGCATGTTTTCAGACCTGGCACTAGAACAAGTTATGTACTAGCATATCCTTATCAAGAGGCAGACCACCGTCATCAGTGACACTTCTCGTCTCTAAGGAAACCTAGCCAGAAACCAGCTAGGTTTGTAACACAGTAAGAATATACACATAGTAAAAAAACACATATTTTTTTGCTTAATAGGGAATCACCACTGGATTAATAGAAGGGCATCTAAAAGGGTATGTGCCTTTCCAGATCAGCCAGTAATTTAGTTTAGTTTTCATCAACTTGAGTTCAAAATTGTCTTTTGATGTCTAAATATTTAGGCTTTCACAGAACAGAGAAGAGTCCTATCTAGGACTTCTGCTGGCAATCTCACTTAGGATAGTTGAGATAAGTTGAGATAAGTTAATTGGCATTACTTTAGGGCAGTTTGGGAAGAAAAGCTGTGCTCTTATATTTTATTCTATTCCTGACTTAGGTAAAAGGCTAGGGTAAACTTTATTCCTCAATAGTATTCCTATTTTAAACAGTAACTTAAAGCAAAATATATAAAATCCATTAAAAAAAGTGATTATGGCATATCTCATAGGAAAAGATGTGAATGATCTTCCAGTAGTCCCTGTTTACCTAATCCCTAAATTGGACTGTCCATAATTATCCTTTCATAAGACAGTGACACCTGCTAAAAGTGTGTCATATTAAATCAAGTAAAATGTGACCCATAGAGATACTAGTAATTAAAAAGTGTTATACAATTGTCTGCTTTTATTTTTTTAAATTTTTTATTAAGGTATGATTGATATACACTCTTATGAAGGTTTCACATGAAAAAACAATGTGGTTACTACATTCACCCACATTATCAAGTCCCCACCCATACCCCAGTGCAGTCACTGTCCATCAGTGCAGCAAGTTGCCGCAGATCCACTCTGTCCCTTCTCCATGATACACTGTTCTCCCCGTGACCCCCCCCCACACCATGTGTACTAAACATAATACCCTCAGTCCCCTTCTCCCTCCCTCCCCACCCACCCTCCCACACCCCTCCCCTTTGGTAACCACTAGTTCATTCTTTGAGTCTCTGAGTCTGCTGCCATTTTGTTTCTTCAGTTTTGCTTCATTGTTATACTCCACGAATGAGGGAAATCATTTGGTATTTGTCTTTCTCTGCCTGGCTTATTTCACTGAGCATAATGTCCTCCAGCTCCATCCATGTTGTTACAAATGGTAGGATTTGTTTCTTTCTTATCAATTGCCTGCTTTTATAATTCAGAATTGTTATTTCCTTCTATCTTGGGACAGCTGGAATAGGTTAAAAAAAATCCTCTGGTCTCTAGATATTAATGTAGGGCAACCTATGTTAATATTTTATTTAACACGGGTATTTATTTATCTATTAATAGTTGAGAACAAGTCATCGGTAAAGCTCCACAGTAAAAAGGAAGGTGCTACTTCTTTTTTTTTGTATGCAATCAAGATATTGTTTGTCTGACTCGGCTAAGGGTTTTTTAGACCAGATAAGAACATGGCGATGCAAGCAAGTTTGTAGAACAGCTGAGAAGCCTGAGATGAAAGTTACTACAATGGCAAAAATTTTATAATTCTTATTCTTGAGTCCTTGGTGCAGTTAAAGAAATGCAATTTCTGGCTGACTGAAATTAAGTAAAACAGCTTAACCAATTCAGAAAAAAAGCAGATGTCAAATTCAGAAAGAATGAGCTAGTGTTGGGAGTGAGGAGCTGAGGATTCCATTTCTAGCTGACAGTCTCTGCAACCCCAGAGGCTATCACCTGTTCGGAACACAGCCATGTACTTCACAAGGATGCTGACAAAGAAAGAATGAACAAAGACAAAACAAGTTGCACTTTTTAGAAGAGAAAGGACTTTAAAAGGATTTTTACCCTACTTCTCTATAAAAGCTGAAAAACTTTTAACTGGAGTTGGAAGTGTTTAGTCTCATATGTACTTTGCAGTCTGAAAACAAGTCGCTTAAGAAAAAGAAGTTTTCCTTTCCTAGTGGTTTTCTTGGTATGAACACAGCAAATACGAGCATGTAAGGGACTCACTCTATTTTCAACCTCTCTAGAAACAGTTGACAGAAACTTGTATTCAGAAGGGGGTGAGATGAGGAAGGAGGGAGGAAAGGTCAAAGAGATTTCAGCCCATCAGCAGTGTCTCAGGGCTAACAATTCTGGGTTTCTACTCCAAAAGCTCTGTATCAAGTCTAGTAACCAACTGGGCAAAATACAGGGGTGTGCGTGGATGTTTCTGGGGAAATGAGAGATATGTCTGTCATTTAGATACAGAGACAGCCCTGAGGAAAGCCAAGTAAATGCTGGAGCAGCCTGCCCATTACCTTCTAAAGTGGATCCTACGAATGCTGCCAGGCTTCAGCGGTAGGATTCTTAATATACTTTTTTAGGCGGGCTCTGAGCTTCATGCCACACAATCCTCCTCTTCCCAGAAGGCAGATCTAATGGAGATCAGAGCCATTACTCAGCTCAAGTGCTGGTTGGCTTTGACATTTAAACAAAGCTTCTGCAGACTGTCCTGCCTCTCAGACCTTGAGTCCATTCCATTTACTTTAAATAGACAAGCAACTTTAAATTCAATACATTTGATTGATTCCATTTCAGAGCAAGAGGATAGGAGACTCAAGTGGTCAGAAGACTGAAATTATCTACTTGCCATTATTGTCATAAGTAACGAGAAGATGACCTTTTGAAAAAGGCAGGATTAGCTTCAGTCCCCAAATAGTAAGTAAATAGAAGGTCCTTGGAGACCAACAAATCTCAGTGTCTTTGCTCCTTTGGTCAAGCTTAGTCCATTACCAGAGGAGCCTTAATGATTCCCTGCCCAAGCTGCGTCACTGTAAACAGCCCCTCCCCAGGAGTCTGCTTTTTAGTTTCAACTGAACATTTCTGTTCACAGTCCTCTTACTGGTCACCACTGCGGAGACTGCAAAGTCCCACCCACTCCACCACAATGCAGTGTTCACATGTTCTGGAAACTGCATTTCTGCAGCTGTGGACATGTGATAGTCTTTCCTTCTCCTGGGCCTGTTTGTTCATCTGTTTTTCTGTTTTCTAATTCCAATAAGAGCTGATCCTGGCCTTGACTATGGTGGGAGGAGATACATCTGATGAATATATGCTATCTGGATGCAAACACAGGCAATACAAGGCTTTACTGGCCCCCCTAGCCTTACCACAAACATGCAATCATCCCCACCAGCTACCTTCCATAAGTCTAACCAGTCTCTTTGGACATTTTATAGGTTAATGCCCAGCTCCTATGATTGCCTTATTAATGAACCCATCATTCCTACAAAAAGTACCTTTCCTGCCCAGCCTTCTTGGTGTTACATCTGTGTTTTTTATCAATACTCATCTTCACAGAGAGAAAAAGACAATCTTAAACCTATGTCTTGGATTACCTATGCTACAGGTACTTCATTTCACCTCTGTTGACAAGCCTCACATTTGGGTCCTCTAAATTTTACTGTTTGAGCAGCAATTTCTAGATTCTTACTAAACCACTCATCTTTATATTAATCAGCCTTCCACATCCACATATTCCAGACTACACTCCTAGAAACATCCAACTTGTTCTGTCTTACACAACTTTTTCAGGACTTAAATGAAATGATTAATTGCATATGGAGGACTGCTGCCTAATCTCATTAACCTCTGAGATATTAAAATCCTCTTAATTCCTCTGTTCCTACTGTTTTCTTTCCTGTACTTGAAATTACCCATGAGGTAAGACAAAGTACATAGTGACTGGCATACAGTATGTTTTTAATACATTTTAGTCCTATTATCTTAACTTCTTGATGAATCTATCCTTTCAAATGTAGGAATTTTCCTTTAAAAAAAATCATATACCACTGAAATTTCTTCAAGTGTTGCTGTACTTTATTTAGTCAGTCCTCCATGATAATAGGGAGCCATTGTCCCTTTTACTTGGGTGAAGATGCTTATTTCCCCAGACCAGAGGAAATTGGTTCATTATCTCAAATCCACATAGACATGTTAATGTTAATTTAAGAAGGCACTTTATGAGCAGCGCTAGAAGTAGAGAGGGATAGTAGGAAACATATATGGGACACACTCTTTGCCCTCTAGAAGTTTACAATCTAATCACTGAAATAAAACATATCTAGGAAACTGTTGGGAAACTGAAGACAATAGCGCACACCTGCTCTTCCTGTGACCAGCCTCTCCCTCATGTGATCCATCCCACACACTGCTTTATAGTCCCAAAACAGTGCATTCTAAATGTCACTTCCTCTCCCTGCTAAAAAACTTTTAGTAGCTCCTTAGAGTCTACAGAATGAAGTCTGAACTTGGCCTGGTCTTCAGTATTCCACGATGGAGTTACACATCTCCAACCTTATGTCCTGGGACTTCTGGACAAATGGAACTTTTGTTTCATAGAAAGTCTCCCTGCCCCCTGAACTTATCACGTGCATGTCCTCTTGTATCTTTGCTCATATCATATTCCCTACCTGAGTTTACCTCTCCCTTCCTCTTTTTTTAAAATCCACTTCCTACCTTCTAAGGTCCAAGTTCATGGTATAGAACCTCTTCTATCAAGCACTCCCTCTCCCTCACTACCTCAGTCCACAGACCTCTCTCCATCCTTTTAATTTTTATAGTACACTATACACAAAATCTGCAGCATTCCTATCTGGCACTTAGGGTATACTATCTTGTATTCTTATATACTATTATATGTGTGCGTGTGTGTTTGTGTATAGATATATATATATATTATATGTATCTATGGTTACAGTATAGCCTTCTATATACTTATATATGTTTTACACTCCTGGCTTCTAGCCTAGCACAAGGCTCTGCACAAACAGATATCCTATAAATGTTAATTGATGTGAATACTAAGGATGAATCAAGTGTACCTACTCCTAAGACAGGTTTCAAACACCTCTTCCAGCAACCAGACACACTTTAATTCCATTACGTTCAGCACCTTTAACCCTTTTCTTCTTTACAAATTAGTGTGAGCCTCTCACCTAAATTCAGATTACTCTTTCATGCCAACCCTCAACATTCTCAGGTACCAGAAGACAAAGCCCAATACTCACAGTGAACCTTATTTGGATTTGTCTGTTTCCGACGGGACATGTTTCCCTGATCCAAGAGCTCTGGCCTTTCCCAGTTTCACAGCTGGAAATGTTACTATCTCCTTGCAAGGTGCTGACCTACAATAAAAAGGATATTGTTAGCACATGTCATTCTGGTCAGAAATTATATAAAATTAGAAAATGAAAAAACTAAAAAAAAAATAGTTCTTAAGCATATAAAACTCACCAGTTATAAATAATTGAATTAATGAAAGAAAGAAAGAAAAATAAAGAAATCTCTAGAACAACACTAAGGTCCCAAGGAGTTAAAGAGGGGACTCCTCCAGAGGATTTAGGGAATTCCACTCTAAATCTATCTGTGGAATCTAGAATACTGTTAATGATCATGATCAAGTCACAGGAAAAAAAAAGGATGTAAAACACTCAGGCAACCAGCATTATAAGCACTGCACGCTCAAAGGGATAACCCCCGTGAATTGTAAAAGAAGCTAAAGAAGGTGCCATTCACATGTCACATGCTCACTGGAAGTCAAGCCCTGCAGTCTGCACAAATGGGAGCCTTGAGATGTTTTTTCAAGAAGTGATCTCTCCTGGAGGTGACAAAGGCATCACATCTCTGTGAGACACAAAACATCTCAAAACTCTCAGGTCATCTGTAAATGAAAACAACACAGAAAACAGCCTCTATCTAGTAATGCAGGCACAGTGCTGGGCACTGTGGATGACATGGCACCAAAGCAAATCAGACTTCCAATACTGAAGACAGGCTTTCACCAGAAGAGCCAGGTGCCATTCACACTGTTGAGTACTAATGCAACACCCCAATGTGAAATATCAACCTGGCCCCGCTCACATGCCATGGAGCAGTGGTCAAAGTTAATCATTTTAGTGCCTCTTCTCAATCCAGCCTCTATGTAGCAAAAAGATCAGTGGGAGGAACAAAGAGAAAAGCTCCCCAGATGAGAACTGCTGCAGAGACATGCACCTGCTTCCCTGAAACAGGAGGGAACAGATACTAAAACTGGGGGTTCCCGGTTAGTTATAAGAAAGACTTCTTCAGCAGTTAAGTGTTGTTAGAGTCTTCAATGGATTAGTAGTGAAAGCTGTGAAATTTTCTTTGAAAGATAGAGTGAATAAAAAGATGTAGATTAAAGAGAGAGAGATTCTTTTTCCTACCAACGACAAGAATATGGATCTGGTCATCCTCTATGTTTTTTTTTTCCCCCAATTCCTGCCTTCTCAAATTGTACTCACACTGAATAAGCAAATAAAAAATTATAGTTTATTGCCATAAGGGGCATTATGAAAGGCTACTACTAGCTATAATTTTGCGCTCCAGTTAATGAAGTCTCACCTCCTGTTATGCCAACTAACTCCTCATTGTAGCTAGAAAAGACCTCAGACCTGTAATCAGATCCTGCCTTCCCTTACCAAAAGAAGAAAGAAACCGCAAATGGCAAAGACAGGCCTCCACAGGAAGTGGCAAGGGAAGCAGCTTTCAGGCAGTCTTCTATCATATCTGCATATCAAACACAGTTCTTTTTCAGACTTTTAATTAAAACACACACAAAACTCCAAATGTATACAGTAAATATCAAGTTTAACTACTTAGAGGGCAGTACACCGAGTGTTAATGCTAATGGTATCTGTTCTGTTTTCTAAGTTTTGTTTGTGTAGATCATTTCTTGCTAATCGAGCAGTTATTTTATTAATGGAAACTGAATGAATATTACACTTTGGGTCTTTTCCTATAAGTTTGTGGAATCACAAAGTGAAAGTTGAATGAAATGCAAGTTGTCTATCATTTTTTTCTAAAATTTGCAGTGCTACAACTGTCTATTTTATAAGGAAAAAATGAAATCCTAACTAATTTTCAAATTTTCTCCCCATCAAGATCAGAAATTCAAACTGTGAGATAAAGGTAATCAAGATCCTTCTGAAGGAAGGCCAAATAATTTGAGACAGGCTCTATTCAGATCATCTTGGTGAGGTAACAGCTCAATACTAAAGCTACAGGCAGGTCAGAAACGGGAGATGATCATCTGCATATTTAAACCCGCAGTGTTCACTACATCTCACAATCCTCCTAGTGGCCAGATGGAGAACTGACCAGATGGTACCCGATGGGACTTCACACCTGAGGGATTAAAGGAAAAATATGCAAATACTGTTCCCTCCCTCAAAAAAAAGAAAGCTTCTCGGGTCATGGACTCTTGGAATAAGTAAGAAAATGACTAAATAAATAAATGACACTGGAAGGACATTCTTAACCGCACAGCAAGATCTCAGAGGTTAGACAACTGTTTTACAAGCAGTAAACGCTAATAAAATCCAGACATATTGCCGTAAAGGTCACTCATTTAGCTTTACTTTTAACAGTGCCTCAGTTCCCAAGCCAAAATCTGAACCCAGCGCAAAAATGTAAGTGCATAGCTGCCTGAACATCACCACGTGAAAGCAGAACGGGATGGGAAGAAAGGTAAAAGGAAAGCAGCTTTGTCCGACTTTAGAACGACGTTTAGAGTCCTTGGGAGGAGGGCCAACGTCTCCCCTTAACACTGTCCCTGCTCTCCCACAGGTGTTAGGTTACAGCTTCCAGGACACACCACAGACTTTAGCAAGGGAAAAAAACCCGTGAAATTCAAGCTTAAGAAAAGAGGGTTCACTCCCACCTCCAGCCCTGGCGCAGTTCCCACGGAGCAAAGTAAACTCGCCTGAATCCCAGTGATAATGTATCTGCCAAAAATAAGAGGACAAGAAAGCTGGTCAAGCAGCCCCTTCACTGTTCACCCAATTCCCACTTGTTTGGTCTGGAGCAATCGGCCGAGATGGTCCCCGTGGCTTCTTCAAATATAAGCACAGGTAAACTCCCAGGAATCATCAGCCAAGGGCCAGAGGTCTTCCACGGAGGCTCAGACAAACCCTTAGACGACACAGCCTTATCAGAAATCTAAATTTAGAAGGCTTTCAGCTAGACAGCGACGAGGGACTGCCCCCCGGGTCTGCACCCCCACGCCCATCCTCCCCTCCCCCAGCTCCACCCCGCCTGTCAGACGCCGCGGCCGTCCCGGCTCTGCCGGCGGAGCCGACCTGGGCCCACGCCGGGAGGGCGGCGGCGCGGACGGCCCTCCCGGACTCGAGACCGCCGGAGGGGCTGAAAGAGCTGCCGACGGCGGGGAGCCGGTCGGGTCGGTCCTCGTCTCGGAACCCGGGGCCGCGGCAGGGTGGGAGCGCGGGCTGCCCCCGCCCCCCAGGCCAGAGAGAGCCCCTGGCCGCGTCCCCGGACACAGACAAAAGGACCGACAGCCGGCGACCAAGAAGCGAGCGAGGAGCCCCTGCATTTTCAGCCTGGCCCCGGAGGGAAGGAGTCGGGGGTCCTTTTACCCGGCGCCTCGGCGCTCCGCGGCGCTCCGGGTCCCTGGGCCCCGCCTCCGGACAGACGGACCGCTGGACAATGGGCCCGAGGCCACAGCTCGGGCCAGCCGGGCCGGGGCTCTCCGGGACTGGGCCTCGGCAGGCGCAGGGCGGCTCCGGGCCGAGCCGGTGACGGGGAGCCGAGGGGCGGCGCTGCAGACGGACAAAGCCAACGGCAGACAGACAGACGGAGGGGGAAAAGATGGCGGCGCGGGAGGCGGGAGCGCGCTGCTCGCGCACCCGCGGCGAGTGGGGCGCGTGCACGAGCCTCTCCTCTCCCCCTCCCACTTGTCCAGTTAGGTACCACTCCCCGCTCCCCAGGCGCGCGCCCAGTGGCGTGGGCGGGGCTTGAGGGGAGACGGGGGTCCTAGAGGCGGGACTTAGGGGAGCACCCAATCACAGAGGGGCCTCGCCTCCATCCTCGCGCCCTGGAGACCACCCAGCCTCCCACCCGCCTTCATCTCTCTCTAGCCCTCTTAGATCCTCAGCAACCCTAAGCTCTCCCGAAGGTAAACTCCACCCTGACTGTCAGCTCTGATCCTGGCTTCCTACCCCACCTTCTAGTTCAGCCGCAAAACCCACATCCCCAGACCACAGCTCCACCGCAGGTGATCTCCGCCTCCTTAGCCAACCTTAGTTCCTCCTCCACCCCGTCCGCCTCTACCCAAATCCTCTTCCCTTCATTCCCTCACACCTCACGGTTTCTTCGGTCCCCAAGGCAATTAATGTGACCGAGACCTGGGAGTCACGGGCCTTGTGGGAGGAGTTAGTTTAGCTGTCACAACCTAGGAGGAGAAAAATTTTTATATTTCTTTTAGGCATATAAATCTCCAACATGATTCTCAGCTAATAACTGTAGTTGCAGACCTTGGGGCGTAGATTAAGAGAAGGGTAACCTGTGGCACTGTTGCCACATAAGGGGCATTTGGAGGGGCGTTTGGGCAACTGAGAGAGGTTAGACTCACTTCCTAATAAAACACCTCCTTCTATTTCCTCACTGCTTTCCTTTCCTTCCTTTCATTCTGTCTGCTTGTAGAATGCCTAAAGCTGCCTCTTACAGCTTACTTGGAGGAGTAGGGAATGCAGTGGAAAGAAGATGGAATCTGGTATTAGAAGATCCAGCTTTGAGTCTCAGCTCTGCCACTGATGAGTCTGACGACTTTGGGCAAGTCACTTCCCTATTCTGGGCCTCTGCTTCATAAGACAAAATGGATGATACTGTAATAATTTCCAGTTTCTACTCTCATAGGGTTGTTGTACTGAGTATGTAAAACGAACATTTGAAAGCATTATGCAAATATTCCTATGATTACTTGCCCCACGAAGGCAGAGCTAATGAGGATGATGATCCTTGCTTATAAAACAATAAGTCCTGGTGTATGCATAAAGTCTCTTGCAAATGTCCTTTTCATAAATCTCCAGTGAGATGAGACCATTGTCTGCATTTTGTGTTTAATGTGAAAGAATGGCTGTATCTTGCTTGTTCACAACTCTGTAGTAAATAGCTTATTCATTCATTCATTCATTCATTGTGTCTGGGATATGTAGGTAGGAATTATTATTCTTTAACTTCAGTTAAGGAAACATTCTCATTTCATTGTAAATTTTAATTCCTAGGTAGCCATAAAATTGAATATTTTCATTCAACCAAGAATGCAAGTTGGAATAAACATGGGCTTTTAAAATTAACAGTATTCTTGATGAGTTTAGACAGAGGTGTACAAATACGGTTTTATTATGTCACTTCAAAGGTGACATAGTTGACATGTTCAACATGGAAGTACCTAGCAGATAAAGCATTAGAAGAAAGCCTCTGGTGGAATTTCTTGGCTTCGTTGATAAGTTACTGTGTAAAGCTGGGCAGCTTGTTCCATCTCCTTGAGTTGCAAATAAAATGAGATGGGGACTCGATAATGTAATAACCACATTGTTTTTCTTGTGAAACCTTCACTTTGTCAAACTTTCTTGTGAAGTACCTAGCAGATAAAGCATTAGAAGAAAGCCTCTGGTAGAATTTCTTGGCTTCGTTGATAAGTTACTGTGTAAAGCTGGGCAGCTTGTTCCATCTCCTTGAGTTGCAAATAAAATGAGATGGGGACTCGATAATGTAATAACCACATTGTTTTTCTTGTGAAACCTTCACTTTGTCAAACTTTCTTGTGAAGTACCTAGCAGATAAAGCATTAGAAGAAAGCCTCTGGTAGAATTTCTTGGCTTCGTTGATAAGTTACTGTGTAAAGCTGGGCAGCTTGTTCCATCTCCTTGAGTTGCAAATAAAATGAGATGGGGACTCGATAATGTAATAACCACATTGTTTTTCTTGTGAAACCTTCATAAGAGTGTATATCAATGATACCTTAAATTGAGATGGTAATAATGCTATTCTTTTTTTTTTGTATCATTAGTATATACTTACATGAACAACACTATGGTTACTAGATTCCCCCCATTATCAAGTCCCCACCACTGTCCCTCAGCGTAATAAGATGCTATAGAATCACTACTTGTCTTCTCTGTGCTATACTGCCTTCCCTGTGCCCTCCACCCCCACATTATGTGTACTTATCATAATGCCCCCTTTTCCCCTTATCCCTCCCTTCCCACCCATCCTCCCCAGTCCCTTTCTCTTTGGTAACTGTTAGTCCATTCTTGGGTTCTGTGAGTCTGCTGCTGTTCTGTTCCTTCAGTTTTTACTTTGTTCTTATACTCCACAGATGAGTTAAATCATTTGATACTTGTCTTTGTCTGCCTGGCTTATTTCACTGAGCATAATACCCTCTAGCTCCATCCATGTTGTTGCAAATGGTAGGATTTTTTTTCTTCTTATGGCTGAAAAATATTCCATTGTGTAAATGTACCACATCTTCTTTATCCATTCATCTACTGATGGACACTTAGGTTGCTTCCATTTCTTGGCTATTGTAAATAGTGCTGCAATAGACATAGGGGTGCATCTGTCCTTCTGAAACTGGGCTTTTGCATTCTTAGGGTGAATTTCTAGGAGTAGAATTCCTTGGTCAAATGGTATTTCTATTTTGAGTTTTTTGAGGAACCTCCATACTGCTTTCCACAATGGTTGAATTAACTTACATTCCCACCAGCAGTGTAGGAGGGTTCCCCTTTCTCCACATCCTCGCCAACATTTGTTGTTGTTTGTCGTTTGGATGGTGGCCATCCTAAATGGTGTGAGGTGATATCTCATTGTGGTTTTAATTTGTATTTCTCTGATGATTAGCGATGTGGAGCATCTTTTCATGTGCCTGTTGGCCATCTGAATTTCTTCTTTGGAGAAGTGTCTGTTCAGATCCTCTGCCCATTTTTTAATAATGCTATTCTTATAACCTTCCTGTCCCTAGAAATGCCTCTGAAGTGTTGTGATTCAGTTATAATCAAAAGAGGGGAAATTATTAAATAAGGAATTAGTTTCTTTTTCCTTTGCCTTCACTTAAACTTGTTCTGGATTTAGGAGACTTTTTCATTAACCATGGGTTTTTTTCAGCTTCATATTTTATTTCTACTTTCTCATTCTACTCATGGAGTTATGTTGTTATTTTGCAACTTTGACTATACTAAGTTTCCCTTGTAATATCTTCCTAATCTGCTTTATATTTCTTGACTCCTACAGTGACCTTTTTAGGGCTTTATATTACCACAGTATTGGTAGAATAATTTAAAGACCTTCATTAAAAATTTATTAAGATATAATTCACATGCCATGAAATTCACCTTTTTAAAGTGTACAATTCAATGTTTTAAAATATATTCACAAGGTTGTGCAACATCATATCTTCAGTATCTAATTCCAAAACATTTTCACCACTCCTAAAAGAAACTCCATTCCCATTAGCAGTCATTCCCATTCTTTCACGCCCCACCCAGCCCCTGGAAACCACTAATTTACTTTCTGTCTCTATGGATTTCTTATTCAAGACATTTCACGTAAAGGAGATCATACACCATGGGGCCTTTTGTGTCTGGTCCTTTTACTTAGCTTAATGTTTTCAGATTTCATCCACGTGGTAATGTATATCAGTACTTCGCTACAGCTGATGATTTTGCTGTCAACATTTGTGTACAATTCCCTTCTCTCAGTTATATACCTAAGAGTAGAATTGCTGGGTTATCTGGTAACTCTATGTTTAAATTTTTGAGGAACTGCCAAACTGTTACCCGAAGTGACTGGATCATTTTATATCCTTACTAGCAGTGTATGAGGGTTCCAATTTCTCCATGTCTTGTACTACACTTGTTTTTTGTCTGTCTTTTTCATTATAGCCATTGCAGTGGGTGTGAAGTGACACCTCACTGTAGTTTTGATTTGCATTTCCCTGATAACTAAGGATGTTGAGTATCTTCTCATGTGTTTATTATTGACCATTTGGAGAATATCTGTATAAATCCTTTGTCCATTTCTAAATTGGGTTGTCTTTTTATTGTTATTCTGTAGGAGTTGCTGTTGCTTTTTAGTATTCTGGACCCTTATAGGATATATGATTTGCAAAACTTTTCTTCCATTCTGTAGGCTGTTTTTTCACTTTATTGATAGTGTCCTTTAAAGCGTCCAAGTTTCTTTTATATATAAAGTCCAATTTATATATTTTTTCTTTTCCTGCTTATGATTTAGGTGTCATATTTAAGAAACCATCTCCTAGTTCACAGTCATGAAGATTTACACCTATGTTTTCTTTTAGAGTTTTATAGTTTTAGCTCTTACATTTAAGTCTTTGATCCATTTTGAGTTAATTTTTATATAACTGTGAGGCAGGCAGGCTCAACTTTCTTCTTTTGCATGTGGATATCTGGTTTTCTCAGCACTATTTGTGGAAAGCCTACTCTTTCCCCATTGATTTATCTTGTTATCCTTGTTGAAAATCAACTGACCATAAACGTGTGGGTTTATTTCTGAACTTTCGATTTTATTCCATTGATCTCTGTATCTATTCTTATGCCAGTATTATACTGTCTTGATGAGAAACTCATATTCTCAAGAGATGTTTTAACTTTTGAGTTTACATTTAGAATCTAGGTTTCTAAGTTTTCATTCATTTAAGGAAAAATTAAGTTTTTTAGGATGATTACAATGATGATAAATGTCACAAAAACAATCTGATTTGAGAACTCTCTTTTGATCTTATACATGAACCCACTCAGAGTAATAACTGTGACTTAATGAATTTGTCTTTTTCATTTATTGATAAACTCAATACACAGGAATTGAAGGTAAAACCAAAACAAGTTATTATGGAAATACGGATATACGAAAAGTATATGATGTCAAGCCCGCAAGATCTGGGTTCAAGATCTGATCCTGGCACCTAGAGCTGTTCATCTTGGATTGGTCACCTTACAGCTAGCTCTAAGGACCACCTTCCTACTATGAAAACTAATAATCATTTCTGACCTACAGCTGCTTCATAGAAACGTTGTGAGCCTCAAACTGAGATAATATGCTCATAAATAACCTGTAAAATGAAAAATGGAAATAATATTTGTATCTGGCCCTAATTAGTGACATCAATAAGTTCTATGAAGAATCATTCCATAAGTCCTCTAAAATATGCTCCTGTCTTTTTTCTAGGCCTCTGGAAGATATGCAGAGCAGTTCCTATTTTATTTTGTTGTCTTTAGCCTAAAAGCTTTCAGAGATTTTCCTTTCTAAATGTCAATACTTTAAAAAAAAAAAAGGTGAATTACCGTCCACCCCTTGTCTTTCCCTTTTCTCTTACACAATGTGTATTACTTTATTCTATTACAAGAGTCAGCAAAAGTTTTCTGTAAATGGCTAGAAAGTAAATATTTTAGGCTTTGTGGCCAACATTAGGGTTCTGTCACATCTTCCGCTTCCCTTTTTGTTTTGTCTCATTTATAATCAAATATGAATGTAAAACCACTCTTAGCTGGAGTGGCTGTACAAAAACAGGACTAACTGATTTTGGCCTGCAGGCTTGTTACACACTTCTATTCTACTGGGTTCAAGAACTTCATCAGGTTTTAGAGCCACTAGTTATAATCATCTACACACACAAAAAATGAGTACTCAACCCAAGAAATGTTATGTGTTAATTTTTATCCTAATAGCAAAACAGGATTTTCAAGTGAAACAATGTGAGGCGGTTCATTTCTTTTGTATATTATGTTTTGCTTCTGAATGAAACTGTTCTGTACAGCCAGGGACAGAGATATAGTTGCGAATAACTGGCTTGTTGTGGTATAATTCACACTGATGTATTGCAGGATCTAAATAATTAGATAGGACAGGACATATGATGATTGCTGAATCCAAGCAACTGCTGAGTAGGAAGCAATTTTCTAAATGAATTATGTCTTTTTTTAGCAAGATATAGGCTCAATGATACTTTCACCCATCTTCACTTTCATGGTTTGAACAAGGTTGCAATAATATCAAGGATTCAAAGAGTTATCCACACTGTGTTACTGAGGACATGAGGATGTAGAAACTCTCATACACTGGTGGTGGTGTAAATTGATACTTCCTCTTTGAAGGGTGATTTGGCAATATCTATATACCTACCCTTTAACCCAGTTCTTCTGCTTCTGGGAATTTACGCAATAAATATAACCAACTGCAGTATTGTTTATAGAGGGAAAATATTGGAAATAACCTAAATAGCCATCAATAAAACAGTACTTAAAAGATGATGGTACACATATACAATGAAATATTGTGCAGCCCTTTACAAGGATGAGAATTATTGATAACTACTGATATGGAACAATTTCTCCAAGATATATATCTTAAAGTGAGTTATGATACAAGTTACATATAGAGTATGCATAGTATGCTACTATACATGTAAAAAAAAGGCATATATATTCATATAGTTTTACATGCAGATAATATTACCAGAAGGATTTCCATAGTATTAAACATGATCTGTCAGACACTGTTCTAAGAACTTTTCATAAATAATTCTCATAACAACTTTTTTAAAGTAGGTACTATTATTCCCAATTTGCAGACGAGGAAAAAGGCACAGAGAGATTAAACAGCTTGCTCAAAGGCCCAAGAATCTGGTAATAATATGATTATTCTACTTCTAGAGTGATGGACTGAAGGACTAAGGATCAGAGGAAGGAGACTTAATTTTCTCTACATCTTTTTTCAGCTGCGCGTGTGTGGTTTGCCCTGTTTAACATTACTTTACAATTTTTACTTTAAAAAGCTAATCTGCTCCATTAGGAAAATAAGCAAAACACTATCATGAGCACACTATATACAAGATAGTCAATCTTCATTAACTAATTTCAAAGATTCACAAATTAAAATAATTTCTTAGCTTCAGAAAAATCAGGAAGATTGATAGTGCTGGCAGTTGGGGAGTATGAGGGAATAGGCACTCTCACACACTGTTACCAGGAGGATACAGGAATAGAATCTTTTGGGAGGGAAATCTGATAATGGGTTGTACTAGTTTGCTAGGGTTGCCATCACAAAGTACCACAACCTAGGTGGCTTAAACAGCAGAAATGTATTGTTTCACCGTTGTGGAGCCCAGAAGTCCTAGAACAAGGTGTCTGAAGGCTTAGTTCCTCCTGAAGGCTGTGAGGAAGCATGTTCCAGGACTCTGGCTAGCTTCTGGTGGTTTGCTGACCATCTTTGGCCTTTTTTGGCTTGTAGATTCTTTACCCGATCCCTTCATTTTCACATGGTGTTGTGCCTGTGTGTCTGTTTCCAAATATCACCTCTCTCTAGGGACTCAAGTCATACTGGATTAGGACCCACCCTAATTTAATTTTAACTTTAATACCTTAGTAAAGACCCTATCTCCAAATAAGTTCACATTCTGAGATACTGGAGGTTAGAACCTCAACATAAGAATTTTGGGAGGACACAATTCAACCCAGAACATGGAAACAATTTTAAAATATGTATACCCTCTGACCTAGCAAGGCCACCTATGGAAATCTGTTTTTAAGAAATAATCTTAAAGTATGCACAGATATTCTTAAAAGGATAGTCACTATAGCAAATTACAGAACATTACTGGAATCAAGCTAAGCACCAATAAGGGATTGACTACATAATGGCCTAGCTGCTTCCACTTTAAATATGATACATTTAAAACACACACACATGTATATTTGGACTAATGTATTCCAGAAAAATTAATAATGGCATGGGGAATATTACTTAGGCCTCATATACTCTCGAATTAGTAAAAACAATACATGTACTTCTACCCTTAAAAACAAAAAGATGATACTGAATTCAGTCCCTTTTATTCTGCTTTTAAACTAAATGTGGAACAGAATCTGAATACAATTATTGCTAGGACCTTGGCTTAGTCTGGTAGTTTCTGGGGGGAAACTACCATTTCCCATGGAGATAGATAATAGCCTAGTATTCACACAACACTAATGTTTTCTGAACTATTTGAAAGATGTCTACACCACGCTCCTTTGTGCCTAAATAGCTCAGCGTACATCTTGTAAGGATAACTCTCCTACTCAATTATTATACTTATGATTTCATAATACCTAATATCCAGTACATATTCAAATTTCCCAAGTTGTTCCCCCAAATATCTATTTTTTTCAAACCAGGATCCAACTAAGTTTCATATATTTGATTTGGTTATGTCTCTTTAGTTTCTTTTAATCTAAAGCCAGTTTTCTTGTAGAAGGTTCCCCATTTTGCATTTAAATGACTAGTGTATATACTGGCTATTTAATTCTCCCATGACATAGACTTAGTTTTAAACGTTTTACTTGAATATTTTTTATTGTGGTAACATATACAGAAGTTACCATTTTAGCCATTTTTAATAGTACAGTTCACTGGCATCAAGTACATTCACACTGTTGTATAACCATCACCAGCATCCATTGCCATAACTTTTCATCTTCCCAAACTTAAACTCCATATCCATTAAACACTAACTCACCCTTACTCTTTTCCCCATCTCCTGGCAACCACCATTGTAGTTTCTGTCTGAATTTTACCTCTCTAGGTACCTCATATAAGTGGAGCCATACAATAAGTGTCCTTTTGTGACTGGTTTCATGTACCATACCATCTCAATATTCAACCATTCATCCATGTGTCAGAATTTCCTTCCTTTTAAAGGCTGAATAATATTTCATTGTATGTACGTAGTTTTTTTCCAGTCATTGTCCATGGGCAGTTGGATTGCTTCCACCTTTTGAGAATTGACTATGCACATTTTAAAACAAACTTAAAGGTAGAGAAGACAGTACATTAATAACTGTCATCTATTCAACAATTCTCAAGATTTTTGCCACCATTTTATCCCTATGTACAGTATGCATTTCTTAAAAAGTTTAAAAAAGGATATTTTCTTACAAAACCTCAATACCATTTATGCTTAACAAAATAACAATTCTTTGGTTCGTTGGTATCATGTAATACCTATTCCATAATCTAATTTCCCCAATTGTCTCAAAAACGTCTTTTATAAAAATTGGTTTGTTTGAATCAGTACATAAACAAGGTCTACACACATTACATTTGGTTACTGTGTCTCTAAGGCTTTTTAAATTCGAGCAGTCTGCCTTCACTTTTATTTTTTTAGATGCTATTATCTTACTGCAGAACAGACTATATATGCATGTATTTCCTGGGGGCGGGGGAACAGTTTCTGTTCAAAGGAACAAAACTGTATTTTGGAGGTTCTGGAACTTGGTTTTGTTTAGAAATACTGCAAGTGGTTATAAAGATAGTATTTCTATATTCATATAAACCTAATGTAGTAACGCATAGCTCCATCCTTGACAAATTGCCGCATCACAATTTAAAAGCAAATTGCAATTACAGTCTCAGGAGATGCAGCCTCTACAGCAGGGAGTAGGATTACCTTCTACAAACCAAGAGCTATGGCAGGCAGCCCCTTGCAAAGCTAAGCCGAGATCATGGTTTTCAAGTTAAAAATAGAGGTTACTAAATGAAAAACTTCCCTTTGAATACTGGGATGAAGTAAATTCCCAGAGAACGTGGTGCGGTGTAAACAGTCCTGAACTTAAATTATACAGGCTGTGCAGATTCTGATTGAAGAGCAATCCGACCTGGGGCAGGGGTATGAGAGTTCGTAGACGGAAAGATGACGGGCGACTAGGGGAGGAGGATGAAGGGTCGGATAAACAGCAGTGAGTTGCCAGAGAAGGGTCGAAACCCGCTCTGCCATTTCCCCCGGAGGAAAGAAAGTGAGAGTCGGGGAAAGCCAGCAGGGCGAGCGAAGTCCAGCGAAGAACGGGAACAGATCTCAGGCAATAACAGGATTTGAAGGGCAGTACAAGAACCGGTTTTTCCAGTGACTGGAACAACGCGGAACAGGGCGCCAGTCGCGGAGTCAGATAACAAGCCCCGCCCTCCAGCCTCACTGCTCGCACGGTAACACCTGCGAAAGTCAGGGCGCGGCCCCCCCAGCAGGTGACTCACGCAGGGAGACGCGTAAACGTCACCCACCGGACCTCCGCCGCTGGAAGAAGTCCCCGGCGCGCCCGCTCCGACGGGCGCCCCCAGGCACTCAGGGCACGAGTCTCGGGAGCGGCAAGCGCGCAGCCAATGCCTGAAAAGGAGGGCGTGGCCAGCTCGACCCGCGGATTCCTCCGCCCGCGCTTGCTGTGCTGAGGCCGGGGGAGCCGCCATTTTGGATGCTGAACCTTGAAACCGAAGTTCGTCTCTGCTGTTTTTACATCTGGATTCGGCTCGGTGAGTGTGGCTTCCTCTGCGTCAGGAGTCTTTGTTTTCCTCTTCGCCGTACGCTCGGGATTTAAAAGTCCGTAGCTCTGAGTTGAGACGACAGCTGAGGTGGAAGGTGGGGAGAAAGGGAAGGATCCTGAATGGGGGTAGGGTGTCAGGCCGAAGGTCGGTCCGCAGGGGCTGCGGCCTGGGGGTCCTCCCGAGGCCGCGGGCGTCGCGGGGCCGGACCGCCAGGAGACCTGTGGTTTCGGATCCTTGAAGCTGCCAAGCTTTCCTGCTGTTCTCCCTGCCCCGAGGCGTCCCTCGGGCGGAAACGCCGCGGCCTGGGCCCCACCGCACTCCCGGGGACGCCCCTGCGCTGCCTCGGGCTCCCAGGCCTCGGGAAGGTGGTCGTCCGCAGAGTTACGAGAGTCTGGTGGCCGCTGAGGCCCGCAGCTTCCGCCCGGTGACGGCCGCCCGGGCGGCCCGGAGGAAACTGCCCTTTTCTTCAGCCGAAGCAAGCGGCGGCCTCTGCCCTTCCGCGGACCTGGGGAGAGAGCGAGCGGGCACCCTGGACCCACGCCTCTGTTCTCCGGGGTGCTGGGGGTGAGGGCTTGAAACTCCAGCAGCACCAACTTTGACAGCGATCAGCACCCTCCGGCGTCCCTTTATAATTAGGTAATTGGAAAGATAGGCGCCTTTCATTTTCCGTGGTAGTAAAATTAAAAACGTCTTAACTCTTGGGGATTGTAATTTTTTTTCTATTATGCTTATGTATTATGTTTTTTATCTTTTTAGTAAGAAAATTTCAAACAAAAAGAGCATAATGAATGAACTCATCCAGTTTCAACACTATCAGCGCTTTGTTTGTTTGACTTATACCCCCCTTATGTCTATTTCTAATGTGACCGTTGATTGATTGTATGTGTATTGTGTCGCCGTAGCCCCGCCCTCTTCCCTTGGAAGCCCGGACTCCTGTACCTACAATCTAATAGTCTTCGGGAATTGTTCTTACAGGTTCCTCAGAACCACATAGTGCGTGTAACATCCTCTTGTTAGAGGGTGAAAGAGTTCTGAAATGTCACTGTTAGCGTTACATTTTAAGTCACCTAGTTTCTTAAATCTTATTAAAGTAGTGTTGTTTTGTCGAAATTGTTTTCATTCTCCCCCTTCCTGTGCCTGGAGCTTCTGATAATCAAGAGCTGCAGAATTCCCAACTCTAGTCTACTTAATTTAATTTAAGCTCTTACTCCTTTAAAATCAGAGTCAAATCCCAATTATATGTGTAGTCTATTCTGATTTAAAAAATAAAACTAGAAAACAGTGTAGGCTAATGAAATAATTTCAAATACAGGAAAAGTAGTATTCACACAAATACTAATTTCTGCGTTATTTACATGACAAATGTTAAAAGGGGGAATTGATTAAAATATTACTCAGTGGAATATTAGGCAGCCAGGTAAGGTTATAAAGATTGTAACAGATGATGTTAAATGATAAAAAGGTTAAGTAGTGTTGAGTCCACGATTACACCTTTGTAAAAATACACCTTAAGAAAACTTAAAAGTATACTCAATGAATTTTCTGTAATGTTTTTAATTTTATTGAGAAACAAGTTTAAGATAATGGTACTTTTGTAATGCCTGCACGTTTCAGTAGTTTATACCTCCTTCCAGAAAAATCTTGATGGCCTCTGAATTCTGAAGGCTATACTTTTCTTGTGAGTTAAATACATGTGGCTACTGTGTGTGGTCCCATTTTTTTTTAATAGTCTGTTGATCTGTCCTTTTTAATTGAAGTATCTTTGATATACAATTTTACATTGGTTTCTGTACAACACAGTTCAACAATTACCTATATTATTAAATCCCTCACTCCCTCTAGTGCAGTTACTGTCAACACAGGAAGATGTTACAGAATCATTGGCTATATTCTCCATGCTGTACAACGATCCCCATGACCAAATTTATTATGATTGTGAATTTTGTGTCCCTATCTACCCTTCATCCGCCAGCACCCCCCACCCCACCCTGCATCCCAACCTCTTCCCCCCACCGTGGTAACCACCAGTCACTTCTGTGTCTATGAGCTGGTTTGTCTTTCTGTTTTGCTTTGTTTTTATACTCCACAAAATAAGTGAAATCATATGGTATTTGCCTTTCTCCATTTGGCTATTTCACTGAGCCTCATACTCTAATCTATGTTGTTGCAAATGATAGGATTTCTTTCTTTTTTTATGGCTGAATAACTGTTGTATGTACCACATCTTTATCCGATGATCTACTGATGGACACCTAAGTTGCTTCCATATCTTGGCTATTGTAAATGATGCAGCAATAAACAGGGGTGGCATATTTCCTTTGGAATCAGGGATTTTGTTTTCTTCGGGTAAATTCCTAAAAGTGGAATTATTTGGTCATATGGTATTTATTTTTAGTTTTTTGAGGAATCTCCATACTCCTTTCCACAGCAGTTACACCAATTTACATTCCCACCAACAGTGTAGGATGGTTCCCTTTTCTCCACATTCTCATCAACACTTGTTATTTCTTGTCTTTTGAATAGTGACCACTGGGATGTGAGGTAGTATCTCATTGTGGTTTTGATTTGCATTTCCCTGATGATTAGCAGTGTGGAGCATCGTCTTATGTGCCTGTTGGTCATCTGTGTATCTTCTTTGGAGAAATACCTGTTCAGATCCTCTGCTTATTTTTTAATCGGGTTATTTGTTTTTTCTTGGTGTTGAGGTGTATGAGGTCTTTAATATATTTTGGATGTTAGCACCTTATTGGATAAATCGTTTACATAGTCTCCCATACTGTAGGTTGCCTTTTTGTTTTGCTGATGGTGTCCTTTGCTGTACAGAAGCTTTTTGGTTTGATGTAGTCCCACTTGATCATTTTTCGTTTTTTTTTCCCTTGCCTGAGGTGATGTGTCCAGGAAAAAATTGCTCATGTTATTGTTCAAGAGCTTTTTGCTTATGTTTTCTTTAGTGTTTTGTGGTTTCATGTCTTACATTCAGGTCTTGAACCATGTGTGTTTACTTTTCTGAATAGGGTTAGACAGTAATCCAATTTCATTCTCTTGCATGTAGCTGTCCAGTTTTCCCAACACCTGCTATCGAAGAGGCTGTCTTTTCCCCATTGTATATTCATGGCTCCTTTATCTTGTATTAGTTGACCATATATGCATGGGTTTGTATCTGGGCTTTCTATTCTGTTCGTGTGGTTTGTTATCTTGCTAAATTTTTAATCTTGACTTTGGTCAGTGAGGATCTGACTACAGTTCATATTCTGGAAGTAGAGTAAACTTGGTCTTCTGTAAATGAAATTGTTTTAAGGACTGGACTCTATTACTTTGCCCTTTATACCATGTCTTCATTGCTGCAATACAGTGGTCATACCTAAATGTGTTCATATTACTTACTTTATAAGAAAGAAGTATTAAGGATAAAGTAAGCATTTCAAATACAAAAATTACCCATATACTACAAAATAACCGTTCTAGCCACTTTTGAAATCTGGCTGCTTTCCCCACCTGGTACTTTTGGAGCTACAGATTTTAAAGCTGGTCCTTTCAGGGTCTAATTTGCTATTTTTCTTTACTTTAAATAGAGCTTTTAGAATTAATACCTGTGGGCAGCTTCACTATATTGAGCAGCAGTTCTGAGCTGCAGCAGTCTCCCTCCCCCCCACCACAAATAACGTGAGGAGTGATGCAGTCATAGCTTTTACACCTTCCCTTCTTCAAAATGAAGACATTAGCTAGCTTTAAAAGGTACCTAGGCCAGAGGGATGAAAGAGGACTAGATGAGTTTCTTGTTCCAATGTTAAGGATTAGGTTAAAGTGAGGTATTGGAAAGAGCCAAGAAGGGCACCTGAGGTTGCTGACCAATGTGTGACCTAACTATCTCACTCATAAAATTAGTAATTCAATATATAAACAAGATAGAATTCTGAGAAATAGTTTTGCAATCACTAGTTCATAATCCTTTTGTAGGGTTTCTGTTATACATGTTTTATAGTTGTTTTTAGTTCCCTTGTTCACATTGATTGTGAGCTCCTTAAATGGTAGGTTCAGGTACTGTTTAAATGTCTCTTGGCAGCAGCAGTGGAGGCTTAGCACAAGTGCTTGACAGAATAGCACTCAACAAATGTTCAGTGAGTGATACGGAGGCATAAAGTCACCTTAAGACTAACCTCTGAATCATAAAAAAGAATTTTAAATTAGGTATCAGAAAATATTATGTGGTGTGTGTGTGTGTGTGTGTTTGTGTGTGTGTGTATATGTAACTGTTGACCAGAATACTTTATTAACTTTTAGGTTATTATCCCTAAAATCAATATTCTTAATCATGAAGGGTACAAGGTTTATGGTAGTTAGCTTTGGAAGCACAGGTTCAAATTGTGTAATGGTAATTAGCTTTTGTATTAGACTGGTTTTGGGTCTAATGATTTATCTCAAATATTGGCAGTGATTTAGGACAGGTGCTTATTAAGTTACTATATTTGTAGTTTAGTGTCATTGTTAATAGTTTTTGTAGAATCGGAATCTATTTCTGAAAGATGAAAATCCTTAAACCTTAAATTAATATAATACTTTGGCAAGTTATTTTCCTTAAATCTAAAACAAGTTATATAAACTAGTGGAAATAAAAAAAAAGGAATGTCATTTTTTGTTAAATTTCTTACTAATAAGTGAGTGAGTGCTTTGTAGAAAGCTAAGTAAGCACTGTGGGAACAACAATGCAATCCAGAAATAGTGTTTGCCTTCAAGCAGCTATACTGATAATAAAGAGTTGAGATCCTCCAGTGATGTCAACATAGGTTATTCAAAAAATTTAAGGAGGGAGAGAGGGACTTAGCTTACCTTAAACATTTAATTTGTAACCTAAACCAGTTAAGAGTACATGTATCAGTTAATCTTTAGGTGATGAGCCAAGACCTTTTCTTTGAGTATGGGTCTGTTGACTGGAATTTTTTTTTTTTTTTTTT